GAACAGATGAAATGTTGACCGTTCAAATACTTTATCATGGCCAGAGACCCTCACCTACTGAGAACTCTAACAGTTGACAATTTCATTATAAACATTACTTCACCTTGTTGTTTTTAAAACTGACAGGCAACTCTTCTTTAGCAAGTATCTCAACCTCGTTCCCAGGGTTCTCTCCTACCCGCCCCCATGGAGCGAATATCTGTCGCCAGCCGTTAAACGCAAACTGCCACAAATCATAATAGCCGTTTGGTCCGCATAAGTCGTTGGATGCATATGTATATATGCATATGCATTTGTTAACCCCGTCTAATTTCTGCTTAATTACTATCTATGGCAACGGCTTAGGAGATTTTTCTATTTACAGCCAGAATAACCTCAAAAGGAGATTTTTACTTTAAATTTGTTATGCGGCTTGTCTGGCTTTATTCAATTGAATACAAAATATGAATATTCATTTATAACCTTACTTGAAACGGCAGCTTCTGTGCATGCTGACCTGAGCTCTAGCACTATGTAAGTGCGTACATGCATAGTGACCTCACACAATGAATAAGAGTAGACACGCTTCTTTGGAAGACTCAAAAAATTAGATTCTGGATATCAGTTTCTTTCCATCCGTTACGAAGAAAGAAACGAAAATAATAACAGGAAAACCTCTTGTCAGGCGCACTTTTGATCAAACATCATGAGTCTGACTACAAAAACTCTGCCATTTGCTGGCACTACAAACCACCTAACAAATAAAAAAAATATTGTAGAATTCACCTTTAACGACGTGCAACTTAATATCTATTTCTACAGGATGTTTTATCTGGTATTCATCGGCGACAAGTGTTCAACTCCAGGCCATTTTCAACATGGGTGGGATAAAAGGTAACGTCATATTCTACCAGTCGCAACAAGGTAGTCCCACAAGTATCTTACTTAACTTAACAGGTATCGAGAATGAAACCCTGACTTGGGATATTCGACAACTTCCAATGATCTACGATGGTAATGCAGCTATGAGTTGCAGTCCAAGCGCAGTTGGAGATCTGTTTGACCCTGCGATGGCCATGAAATCTGCAGACTACAATAGCTCGTGCAGTCAATCAAGTTCTTCAAGATTTCAAGCATGTGCCACTGGTGACTTGACAGGAATGCTGGGAGCTATAAATGCCAGCAACGCACAGAAATATTTTACAGACCAGAATTTGACTGTTCCTATCAGAGGGGCCAACAGCATCATGGGTAGAACACTTGTTCTTTACAAGGATGGCACACCAAGGGCTTGCTCACTGATTAGTCCGGATAAAGTTATGCTTACAGCAGTAGCTGTCTTCACGATGCCGGTTGCTGGTTTTGTGTATCTGAGGCAAGCTGATGAGAGCGCAGATACAACTATATTCGTTAACCTCTTCCATTCCAACGATGCTCAATCTGGTAGACGGGTCACATGGCAGATAAACCAAGCATCAGCTACTTGCGGAATGCCCGGTGACGTTTTCAATCCTGAAAACAGGGACAAGCAAAATTGTAGCCAGTTAGAACACGAAAAATGTCTGATTGGTGATTTGACTTCCAAGCATGGAAACATCACTGTCTCCATGGCAACAAGAGGACAGTCCAAAACCAAAGTGGCCTTTACCGACACCAACCTTCCACTTACTGGTGTCAAAAGCGTTATTGGCAAGACAATTACATTGTTCTCAAATGACGATTCAATGACCCCTTTTGCTTGTGCAAAGATAATGCAAGTAAAACCGAGAGTTCTCATATCTACTTTCAAAGCCAGTGTTCATGATGGTGTAGACGGCTATTTCAAGTTTACACAGCTCTCTCCCTTTGATCCCACGATGACGGAAATAAGGCTCACTGGATTAAGAAAGGAGTCTCAGGGATATCACATTCACAACTATCCCATGCCATGGCAAATGAAGTACACCGGAATGGAATCCTGTGCAGGGAGTCACTTAGGAGGACACTGGAACCCCTTTGGCGTGGATGTCAAGTCCAGTCCTTCGCCTGGAACTGGTATGTAGCTAAGTACAATTTTAGCCTTAATTTTACAATTTCCTCCTCATATAATTCTAAGAGCTGAAACGTCACACACGCATGATAAACAGTTCATGTATTTTTCCATACGTTTTCATGGACCACAAGCCCATTCAATTTATTTAACGATCACTCCATCTTCCATATTTTTGATGATTTTTCAAAAGTTATCTAGTACGTTACACCAAACATCCATCACAGGGTTACCCAGCCGGTCGCCGGTACCCATTTATACCCCTGGGTTCACCACCAAAGTGGAGCAAAGTACTTGTCCAGGGAAGCTACTCTGCAGCCTGACTTTAGCCCGGATCTTCGGATCTCTCACGAGGTTTTTTTTAACGTTGACACCCCTTTTCTAATAGGAACGAATGATCAGTACGAAATCGGTGACCTTAGTGGGAAATATGGAACTTTTCTTAACCTAACAAGCTACAACGGAACGCATTTGGACTACAATCTTCCATTGTTTGGTAAAAACAGCATCCAGGGTCGTTCTGTTGTCATCCATAAAATGAAAGTAATGAACAGCATGAGATGGGTCTGTGCAGATGTCCATCAGAAAATGGCTGAAGTGGACCAAATGTTTGTCATGAAAACCAAAATAACTTTTACGGGTCCAGATGTTATGGGGTACATACTTTTGGTAAGTGAGTTTTATTGCCATTATTCTGTCTAAAAACGCGATCGAGGAAAAAAAAAACAAAAACAAACGAACAAAAAAACTTTTCAGAAAAAAAAAAAAACAGCAGAACTAGTTGATAATTCTAACTGTCAGAATTGCTATTTATGACATTCTTTATTTACTTTTAATGTCTGTATTCTTATATATATATAGCGATACATTCTTATCATACATTTTATAGATATAATTTCGTCACTATATTTATAATCTTAAGAATTTTATTTCTGTATCTGTTTTTGTTGTGTCCCAAATTAGCTTGTAAGTTAAATATCCTGACACGTAAATAGAGTTTATTATTATTATTATTTTGGCAGACCGATCATGCTCAATTGAAACAGTTGTGCGAGATATTTCTCTGCGCTTGAAAATATGGCGTAGCATTTCTATGTCCAGCATATTTAAAAGATTTGTTTTGTTTTTACTTCTTAAGGGAGCTGTGTCACGAAATTCAGCCAAATTAGGAACTTACAAGATGCCCGTTAAATTAAGAGAAACATAAAAATAACCACTTTTAACTTTAAAGGAAGGTTAAAATAACAAAGCAGAAGCAACAGATGGCACGGATGGGCAAAACTGAAGAAGACTGAAACGGATTGAAATTAGGGTTTTTGAAAACTGTTCAGCCTAACAGTTTTTCAAAGTTGATCCCTGCTGTTTGCAACTTCAAAAATAATGCTCAGGAGACATATTTGTTTGTCTCGCATCTCTGATTTTGTCATTTACATGTAATTTCTTTGCTTCTTTTAAGTTCCATAACGATTGGGGGCGCGTAATTGGCAATTAAAATTAAACAAGATGAACTGTACTGCTGTGACGCAGCCCCTGTAAGGTAGTTAAGCGGACAATGAACCATGTCCAATTCACCTATTTAGTTCATATACCGTGGGACATATGTCCATATGTAAATATCGAGATAAGATTTTCCAGAGCCTTTATGCATTTCCAGTCATGAGAAAAAAAGAGAAGACAGAACATAATCTCAAAGCAAAGACAAGCATGCCAAAATCTTTCACTTATACATCAACCTCATTTAATTTGTTATTCAGATTGACCATGAAAACATAGTCTTGACAACTGTTTCAACTCCACTTTATAGATACAGTACAAGACGTCCGATAGCTCTATGTCGCCCGAGGAGACATCGATTTATGTTCATCTGTCGTATGGGAACGAGGCAGACAAACAGGTAAAATAATAATTAGCACAACTACTTCTTTGTTCTATCTGAAACTAGCTGCATGGTTAGCGTAACGTAGCTTGAGCTAACCAACCGGTTGCAAATAAGACAAGGAAAAAGAACGCGAGAGTGAATAAGTTAGCCCGATGGGAAAATTGAAAGTGGGTGGGGGTTGTTGGGAGGCCGGAACCTATTTCCCTTCCCCTTTAGCTTCGATGCTTCGTTTTAGCGTCCTACCCCCCGATCGATAGGCAGCCCGGTACACAGGGTATGTAGTCTCTGAAAATATCAAACGTTTTTTTACGCCATTTTCTTGTTCAGTTACTGTGGGCTTGTGGTATAGCGAAAGTCACGCTGACGTCACCTGTTGATATTAATATGCCAATCACAAGCGCGTTGGTTCTTGCAACAAAAGATTCTTTGTTTTACTCCTTACAAATTTGAATAACAAAAACAATCTCTGTAAACAGTGATGTATTCTATAGCTTGACTTATGCTGTTTTTTTCATCAGAGTATGAATCACTCGTGGCACGTGCACGTGAATCCCGAAGGAGGGGACGCTCACGCTGCGATGGGCGAGAGATGCAAGAGTCTGGGGGGACATTATAATCCTTATAATGTTGACCTGGCTGTAAGTATTGTCGCTTGTATAATAAACCCTTAAGCTCTTATGGTAACTTACGATCACGATTCCTTTTATCAGTCCTTGAGAAGACATTTTTTTTTGCCAGGACGTGGCTACCATGAAGTTTCTGAAATGAAATCATACTTGTTACAGTTTAATTAACAAGGATTAACTTTAATTTCTAAATGACCTTAGAAAGTCCAGGAACGGCATAAGAAATATCCTCTGCTGTTCTCGTGCACTAGTTTGCTAATTTGGCGTGGGAAAATACTTAACTGATAATAACCAAAAAAGAAATTTAAGATGGTTAAACGGTTACTTAGGCCATGCAAAAAAATTGTCAGTTGTGAGTTAACCACACTCGTAAATCAGTTTGTCATTTAAATTTATGGCTATTTATCAGTTGACATCAATTAAAAATTCAAGCCGTTTGTCAATTGTGAGACCCTCACTATGATGTTAGAGAGCTGTTCTGACTTACGATGTCCAGAATCGACGTTAGTTTGTTTGATACTCTCGTAATGGCATCGCCTGACATATACTCCAAAAAGCACCAAATAAAAAGCTAGTTCTTTCCGCACGCAAAAGTTAAATGCTATTCGGAAGGTGAGTAAGAAGAATATCATTGGCAGTGAAGCTTGACAAACGTTAAAAAAAAAAATTGGACTACAGGATGTCGTGTTTCAGTTACTAGGTTGTACTACTTCTACGCTTGAAGGATTTTTTGTTGTATTCATTACTTACAGATCTATACTGTATGTTTGTGTTTACAGGGATCGTATAAGTCATCCTGTTTTTCTAGCAATATGTTGCGTTGTGAAGTTGGTGATCTTTCTGGCAAGCATGCGCGGCTGAATGTTGGTTCAGGGAAGCAGTTTTATACGGATCCAAGCCTTCCATTATTTGGAGAAATGTCAGGTAAAGGAGGAACCTTAACCTCTACTTACATCTCAATAGTTTCTCGGGGAGTTTTACTGTGCATCATCAAAATAGGAAGGAAACAGCCCCAGACTGTCAAAGAAAAGAACAATATGTCGGTTTTTTAATGGACTTATGGTTTTACTTAATCATCAGTCAGTAGTCATGATCAGCTAATTAAGTCAGTGAAATTGATTTTGACCAGTGGTGGATTTGTTGGCCTTTTTTTCATAAACAATTTCGAACAGTGATTCACTGATGTGTGCAATATTAATTTTTTTTCCAGTTGTTGGTCGTGGGGTTGTCGTGCACGCCGAAAACGCTGGAGCAGCCCGCCTTGCTTGTGCTACCATCAAACCAGTAGATTCTCTGTATGTTGAGAAGACACTACACTACGTAGAAGGGACGACATTTTCCAGGTAGGTTTTGCCCAGTTGAATTTATAGGCCATGATATGCCAAGAGCTGAAACAGTGGAAGTGTGGTGTTCTGAGTAGGGGAAGAAGACGTGACAGTAGGGGGAAGGAGCAGATTTGGTGAGGGAGGTGTTGGCGAGGGCAATTTTCATGGATCAGGCGGACGAGGGGGGACGACCTTTTGTAGCTTTTGGGGGGAACTGGGGGGGGTGGGGGGGGGGGGGGGTGCTTTAACACAGAGATTGTTATGTTGCTATGGTAACATGTTTTAAATGTCAAGGAAATGATCTCCATTTGCTCCCAGTAGTTGCCATTTGTTTCATACCACTTTTAAAAGGTGTCAGCAAATGGTAAAAATACAGACGCGCTTGTCATCAAAGAGTAAGGTTTAAGGAACAACACTGAAGGCTGCCACCTTAAGTGGGTGGCCGAGATAACTTGTCATAAAATCATTTAAAATTGGCGCCAAAACTTCTGTTTTTCTCTCTCCTTTAAACCGTTCTGAAACTCATAGTCAAGTACACCAGATTGAAAATTTCCACTTATAGTTAAATAGAAAATCTGATGCTAATTTCCGCACAAGTTGTCGAAACGTCAGACAACTGATTTTGCATGCAGGTCAACACTCAACGATTGATGATATACGACGAGACCTGCTCGTAAAATAACCCCTGAGTTTTGATATTTCACCCTCCAGTGATAAAGGGATTACGAATTCCTGTAGCGTGAACTATTACTGCCGTACTCATTCAAAAAAATCTTAGATCTATATTGCGATTCTGAAGACTGCGATAGCATCAGAACGCAACCCTGGGATGGAGGTGAGACGCGCCCGAAGCCAGGGGAAAGCGCTATTGGGACGAGGTGGGATATACACACTCCTCGCTCGGTCATAATATCCAAGACAAAGCTGAATTTAAAATGTCCTTTCGTTATCTTGTAGATTGAACTTTACAAAAAGGGTTTCAGCGTTGCTTAACATCCCAGAGTGGCGGATATTTTACATTAGAATGGAGAACAGTCAAGTTCAAGGCTGTATGACTGTCAAGTTTGGAATCATTGGAAATGGTTAGTGAAAAAGTGTAAACCTTTGTTAGTCTCTCGATTTGATAAAATTTTATTAGTCAATGAGTCACTATAAAGGGGAAAAACTCATCCAGTTCATTAGATTTCAAAGTTATAAAAGCTTCAATCTTTAATTTTGTGCAAAGAATTTAAATAATGTCAGCCCTCCATTGGTGAACTGCATTGCCAATTCTTCATGAAATTGAGATTCAGAAACAAAGTTGCTCAAGACATATCTGTTATAATTTAAAATCTCGAATGTTCGTCCGTTGGTCGCTGACTTTTCACTCTATTTATATTCAGAGTTGCTACGATTATAGCTTTATGAGAAATGAAGAGTTATTCATGCTAATGAGGCAGAAATTTTGAACAAGGATTCGCCTCTGGATGTGATTATTTATAACTAGAAAGGTTTTAACGATTTATATTTTTTATTTAACCACTGACAGAAAAGCAAGTCGATGAACCATCCAAAGCCTTCGATCTCATTTTACAAAGATCCTCAGGAAAACTAATGGAGTTTCAACCTAAAGATAAATGTCGCAAACCAGGTAAGAAACAAGAGACATGTTTTCCTGTAAGGTTACAGTGTGCAGAAATTGCAAAACAATATATGGAATTTCCCAATATTCCGAACTTCATCATGCACGGATCATGTGCAAATCTGAGGATCGTTCTTAAACGTTAGCGCAACAGCATTGTTTCTGACTTGCTCCTGAGGGGGGAAGTGCTTCAATATGTACGTGAGGGAAATCTTTGGGGAATGCCTGACATGATATTTTGGCTCTTTCTAGCCTCTGTTGGCGGCCGTTCTTTGGGTAGTTTCCTTACGACACAAAAAAACGGCTTCGTATTAGACTAATCAATACTCTGAGAGATGAATTCTCTCTAAAAGACTAGACAAAACTAGGATCACCTGAGTTCCGTGTAACTGACCTCCTACCCCTTCCCTAAGTCACAATGTTTCCCTAAGCGAGAAGTAAGTGTTAATGTTGACTTACGGGAAGGGTAGGAGGTCAGTTACCCGGAACTCAATTGATCTTTGTTTTGTCTAGCCTATTCAGTTACCCACAAACTCAAAACAAGCAAGGCGTGGCGTGGGTTTAAAAATAATCCCCTCACTCATTCGGGCAGTACCCTCAAGACTGAGCCGGGCCGTCCTAGACGTCGTGTCATGACGTCTCCGACTTGTGTGATGATAAGCAAAGTAAATGGAGGACGTCTAAAGTAGAGCCGACGTATTCAAGTAAAATTGCAAGCCCACGTGTAGGTCGACAGCATAAACACCTTTTTCAGTTTTAGTTTCCGTTTAATTTATTTGCCAGAAAAAAGTATATATACTTATCTAGCCGGATTTTTGATAACTTTATCGCCAAATGGACCTTTTGAGTGGAACAGTTTTTTTGGCCAAAAACTATCTCCAAGTAGCTATTATAAAAATTAAGAGTGCAACCATTGCTTTTTTTTTCTATTTTTCTCCTTTCCTTCATTTTCCTTCGTTACTATGATTTTGGAGCTTCTCGGGCTTAGGAAACATGCCTTTTGACGCCTTTTCACTCAAATGACTGAAATTTCGTTAGGTTGGTTTTCAAAAAGTCGGCTAGATATACAAACAGACATTCAATATATTACAAAAATATTTATTTAAATATTAAGGAGACGTAAATTGTAAGAATTCAAAGAATTGCACTAAGGCTAAACAACAACCCTTGCATCAATGTCGCGATAGTGACGCCTTTTCTCTTCTCTTTTTCTCTTTTTTTTTTTCAGAAACTACGACTGTTGTTTCTACCAGTGCCGCAAGAGCTAATTTCATTACCAAGTTCATCATTCTTTCGAACGTTGTTTTAGGTATAGCATTGTGCATGAGCTGATGAAGAAAACGTATCTCTGATAAACAATCAAATAAGCAGAGTATGGCTCACCATACGATATTTCGATGAAATCAGCCCCTATTAATATTTATCGTCATCATTGTAACATTGACAGTAATGTAATTATGAAAGTTACACTAGGTCATGTAAGCAGGCGTATAAGATAAGACAGTATATTACACTTAGGTAGTCTCTGACAATCAAGTCGGAATCAGTGATCAATTAGGCGCCCAATTTTGTTGCGCCCCGATTCGTCCTTACACTATGGAACACAATTGTCACACCGGGCTCTCACAAGACAAATTTTAAGTGGCCTGTTCAAAGGTGCCATCAGTGCCATGAATTGCATAAATGGTTGAGTAGCCTTCAGATAATGTGGGGTTTGAAGTGGGAGTTAGCCCTATCTCCTCTGCTAGTCCCCGTCCCTTGAACAGGAATGGGAGTCAGGGAGTGGGTGCGTACTGAACCCACTGTTAAAGTATACATGTACTATAATATTGTGTAAAAAATTGTACATTAAAAACATTCAATGATTTTTATCGCCGTAAAATACGAGATGCTCTTCAATAGCTGTGAGCTAACCTTTGCTTTCCTAGCGGGTAAATTTCCCTTAAAGACATTTGAATTCCAACGTTTAAAAGATGATGAAAATACAAAGACCCCACGCAGAACTTTTAGACCCTGCTATGCCCAGTTGGCCATAGTTCCCGCGGTGAGGTCCAGTGCACAAACGTGGCTATTTACACCTAACGCACGCTTAAAATGCAATGGGTTGAATAGCCCACGTTCGATATATTAAAATTCTAACATAACCCCGAGGCTTTAATTCTGATCATTTTTCTACATTTGGTTTGGTTTTCTTTGTGCTCAAGTCTCTTCTGGGAATTGCGAGACAATGGAGTCGTGAGAAATTTGTAATTTTAACCCTAATGCCTCGGAGTCATGTTAGAATTTTAATAATATCGACCGTGGACAATTCGTAACTCTATTCCAAAGATTTCCCCGTTTTTCTTCAGTCTAAAAAATTTGTTTCATGAATTCCAGAAACTTTCATTTAAACCATTCGTGGTGTCTGGAGCAGTCACGGCAAAACTTTTCACTGACAGCTTTTGTAATGGGTGTTGTGTTTTCCGATCTGCGTGACTAATTTTCCGGCCCAACCTCGGTGTGTAAGAACCTTTCAAACTCACGGGTGGCGTAAAACAAAGAAGCCAAAGAAGTAAACACAATAGAACCTAGAAAAACAAAAGGTGCAAAGCAAAGAAAAAGTTCGCAGGTTCTTACACCAAGGTAAACCCAATTTTCCGTGACCGTCAACAGTGTTGAATTTGAGCCTGGCATTTTTTATGCAAATTACGCGTTGTGGCGTGACATTTGCAGCGCTCTGTTCGAGGAATTAGTTGAGCATTTATCGATCAGCATCAAGTTAATTACAGGCCGAACTTCTTCCTTATTATGGCGGATACAAAACTGGCTATAGCCAGTACAGTTTATGCAGGCTGCCTTTTCCTCTGTACAGGTGAGAAGCTTAGAAAACATTCATATGTCTTCAGGGCATGCAAACCAGACTGAACTAGTTTATTACATGACTTTTGTAGATGACATAACACAGGATAACAGCTTTGAGGAAGCAAGTTTCACATTTTTTGAGGCAAAATAGTAGTTGTGGCGTCCCTCAACTTTCGTTACTACAAACTCAATGAAATCGGTGCTTTTTTCGTCTTCTGACACCTTTGCCTCACCGTTTACCGCTGAGCGAGCGAGTTTGTCAGCAAGTTGTTAGACCAAGCTGTCGTTTCGCTTTTTTAAAACACTCAGCTTCGTGTCAGTGAAGGCTTTGCCTCGCTATTAATCGCGTCAGAGGTAGTCTGCGTTTAGAATCACAGTTTTCCCCCCTGAAGAAGCCTAACTTGATGCCGACACAGGACGGTAATGCACCGCTCTTCGCAAAAAAAAATAGAACGAGGAAGAATTGTTGATAAATTAGAAAATGTCAGTGCGAGCAAACCAGAGACTACTGTTATTCTTGTTGCGGTTGTAATAGTAGATAACAATGTTTATTTTTCGACATGCTTGAATTGTGAAATCTTTTTACCTGTCCTTGCACAATACCGACTGTAATAAAAGACTCAAAGTTCAAGCATGCCAGTGTTAATATTTACACCGATGTTTATGTCATTTTGTATTCGATTTAAAGGCCTTTACTTCAAATACTAAATATATATCGATAAAACTAGTTGGTGCCCTAACCACTTCATCAGTTACAGCGGTGTAAGATTATCGATACTCGTGACAATATAGGTCCTGACTAACCTTGTGGGGAGGTGGGTGGGGGTAACAAAAATGACAGGGATGGTCTTGGTACAATTATAGTACAAATTTTGTAAATGTCACCTTAGCCTACAAGCAGACCAGCGGATCTAAAATACAGGTCACTTTACAACGGGTCAGAGTACAGGTTACCTTTATACAGATAAATGAACAGCATTAAGAAGTCAGTCTCCTAGTCCTAATCTTTTAACACAATGCTCTGTTAGATTGAGGGAAATTTTTGTGGCTTGGTAATTTTATCGATTGAGCAGTGACCTGTACTTTAGCCCCAACACTGCAAAAATGCAGTGTACAACTAGGAATACTTGTACCGCAAAACTTCGGAGGGTAAGGTGATATACCCCTGGGGATGTACTTCCTTATAAGAGGCTAATGAAGATGTGCCGCTGGATGGGGGTCACATTTTCATGACTGGAGTGACCAGAATGGGGTTGCATTTTCAGTAGAGTTACTAGAATGGGGTCGCACATTTTCGGATTTTTGGGGGTAAGACAGTTCTTCATATTTACGGTTAGCAAACGTACCACAATGTTTGTAGTGCAGATGAAAAGTGAAATTTTCTTCATTCAATCTAAAAAATGGGTCAATTCTTGAAAGTAGAAAGTGACTAAGTTGGGTTCTATAATTGGCCACGGAATAGACTATAATTGGGTAGAGGCTCTGAGAGGCCAGCGGCACATACCCTGCAAAGTTAACCTGAGTAACCCCCCCCCCCCCCGGGGATATACATAAATGAAGGAGACCTGAACCAGGATTGAACTTCCCTTACAAACTTTACATATGTAAGTTTCGTATTTCTTTTTCTATTCTTTTTTTCGACGATCGCCCCTGTATTTGAAGGACTTGTGTCTTTGAGACGAGACTTGCCAGGAAAAAACAAAAAACAGCGAAATATCTTAATTAACTTATATCGTCGTTTCAACTGAGGAAAGGCAGCGATAGTGGACAAGCCAAGTAAATCATCCTTTGTTGTGGGCTAAATGGGAAAAAATGTTCTGTTCTACCAGTAACAGAAGATCGTGCTAATTCATTTCAGTTCAATCTCGTTCCAGGGGCCGTCCCCGTATTTTCTAAGGAGAAAAGCCCCGGGAACGAGTTTGATATCAGGGGATACCGGAAATCCCGGTCGGATAAAATGGTTTGCCATTTCGTTTAGAAAGCTTCGAATGTAGAATGATCCTCGCAGTTGTGAAGGTAATTTATGCAATTACGTATATGAAGAAACCTGAAAAAAATTCAGGACTTCAACGGAATTTGAACCCTCGACCTCGCGATGCCGGTACGATGCTCCAACCAACTGAGCTGTGAAGCCACTGATGTTGGGAACTGGTCAATTATGAGTTCATATGTTCCCGTGTAAGAGATGAATGTGATAGATGTATATGAAATAAATCATATAAGAACTGCGAAAATGAAATCAAATGAAGAATGATGCTCGCAGTTGTGAACACAATTTATGCAATTGCATATAAATGTTTTTTGTCTTGCATCACTTGTTTTTCAACTTAACTTTGTAAACATTTTACGACGTCGCACTATTTGCTTTTTAGTATATTTTTCCTGCATTTTTGATTTTAAAATATTTGCTATCATTTTGCGGCGTGAGCAAAAGAACAGCAACAATAAAAATGTCAGAAAACAAAAACCGTAGGTATTTTAAAAGGCGTCTTTTACGCGCTATACACTTCATTAACATCATTAACGTTCGTCAATACAAAGCAAGTAAACAACTTGGCTATTACGATTAGATCGGCTAAAACCGAACATTTTAACCATTTGCTCCCGATATGAAGACACGAAACGTTTTAATGATTCTAGTGGCCGGCTTGTTGACATTTTCAGGTAAGTGCGAAGTTAATGACCCTGCATGTTCTTTTTTGGTTTGTTACCTTAGAGGATTACAATGAAATAAACAATTATTTTTCATTTATCTTAGTCAAGAGCTATGATAAAGACCATGATTATAGCTCTTGTCTTGGTTGATATCAGGTAAGTCTTTTACCAAGGAACAGGTGTCAGCCGGCTTCATTAAGCTAAGCTGACATCAGTGTGATGTGCGTCTTATTTTCTTTCATGTAAATACGTGAACATTAGAACGGTTATATGGGGAAAAAGCACCAATTGAGTTGACCAGTCACGGAGACGTTGTTCAAATTATTATTTCTTGAGTGTGTATTTCATTCAAGTATTAAAAGCACCTCTTCTAAAATCCGTGCTTCAGAATACAATGGATTTGTGTTTTGCTTTCGCCTTTGTATCGTATTTTTCTTTCATGCAAATGTTAACAACGCTCACATGATGAAAAAGCACTAAACAATTGAGTTTTTTGCAGACTTTTCATTGGAAGCCATAGGCCAGTAGTTGCTTGCTTAATTGACGTGACATTATTATTTCTATTTACTTTATTTATTTTTTGTTTCGTTACTTTTTAAATGAATTCAATTAAATTCTTTTGTAAGTCAAAACTAATATATTCACACAGCTTTCCAAGAACTTGATGTATTGTCAGCAACATCCTCTGTTTTGCCAACAAAACTAGTGGTTGACTTAACTAAGAATCCCAGCCAATCCAAACTATCACGATATGTCGATTAAGGACAGTCAAGCGATCCCAAAATGCTTTATAGATCTCAAGTCTAGTGATTTACGCTGGGCTCAGAAAACGAAACCATGTTTTGTGACACTTAGAACTTTTTTCAGGTTGACTGCACGTCAAGGTTTTTAAAACACTAAATGACCGGCAGTCCTATATTCTCAATAAATTTGACAAATCGACAATATCCATCTAATCTAAACTATCAAATGTTGATTAACAAAATTCAAGCGATCCTGAAACACTTTATATATCTGAAGTTTAGCGTTTGGTTCACGCGGTGCTCAGTCGACTGCCGGTCAAGATTGTTAAAACACTAAATGACCGGCAGTCTACCCTGCTAGCAGAGTCGCTTCGATCTTACCTAGATAAGTCGAGATAGAGGAAAGTGGAAAGCGGAAAGAGGAAAGAGGAAGCTTAGGAGGAAAGAGGAAAGATGAAAAAGGAAAGAGGAAAGAGGAAAGCGGAAAGAGGAAAGAGGAAAGCGGAAAGAGGAAAGAGGAAGCTGAGAAAAGCTCCAACTGTCATTAAACATGGTTTCGTTTTCTGAGCCCAGCGTAAATCAAACGCTAGACTTGAGATCTGTAAAGCATTTCAGGATCGCTTGACTTTTCTTAATCGACATATGATAGTTTGGATTGGTAGGGATTCTTAGATAAGACTCTTAGATAAGTCGATAAGTAGATAAGTCGAATTTAGTGAAAATATCAGACTGCCGGTCATATAGCCACAGGGTTTCAAAATACTAAATGACCGGCAGTCCTGTCTTTTCAGTAAATTTCACAAGTCGAAAAAATCTAGCTTAACCAAACTATCATATGTCCAGTAAGAAAAGTCAAGCGATCCTGAAATGCTTTATAGATCTCAAGAATACCGTTTGGTTCACGCTGGGCTCAGAAGACAAAACTATGGTTCGGAACACTTAGAACTTTTTTCAGCTCGACTACCGGTCAAGGTTTTCAAACTGGCTCTAAATGACCGGCGGTCCCATATTCTCCATAAATTTCACAAATCGAAATAATCCAGCTAAACCAAACTATCATATGTCGATTAAGAAAAGTACAGCGGAATGTACTGAATATAGGACTGACGGCCATTTAGTGTTTTGAAAACCTTGACCGGCAGTCGAGCTGAAAAAAGTTCTAAGTGTCACAAAACATGGTTTCGTCTTCTGAGCCCAGCGCAAACCAAACACTAGACTTGAGACTCTATAAGGTATTTCAGGGTCGCTTGACTTGTCTTAATCGACATATGATAGTTTAGATTAGCTAGAATCTTTAGATTTTGTAAAATTCACCGAGAATATGGGACTACCGGTCATTTAGTATTTTTAACACCTTGACCGGTTACCGGCCATATAGCCACAGCGATTTACATATTCTGATCAATAGCGCTTTACAATCATTTGTTTAAGAGAAAACGAAAATACACAATACCGTGAGAATAAAATAAACTAGGTTACAAACTATAAAAATACTTCTTAAAAAGATAGGTTTAAGTCGAGATTTAAAACTGTTAAGTGATGTTGCTTGACGAGACTCCACAGGTAGGCCATTCCAGAGTTTCAGAACTGCTGCTGAAAATGATCTTGCACCCAATGTTGTAAGCATCTTTCCCTTGGGATGGTCCAATATGAGCTTACCAGTAGACCTAGGATTATATAATGAATTCGATTGTATACTAATAAGATCGCTGAGATAAGTTGGCACTAGGCCATAAATACATTTGAAAGTCAAAAGTAAAACCTTATAGTCAATACGCAAAGAAACCGGCACTCAAATAGGAGAGCTTGCTCGCAGGCTACGGGAGCCAGTGCAGCTCATAAAGGGTAGTTTCGAAAACGAAGCACTCGAAAACGAAGACCGAAGCACGAAGCACCCAAATCTCGAAAACGAAGCACCCAAAACTCGAAAACGAAGCACCCAAAACTCGAAAACGAAGACCCCTAAATCTCGAAAACGAAGCACCCTAGATCGAAAACGAAGAGCCCAAAATCTCGAAAACGAAGCACCCAAAACTTGAAGGCGAAGCACTCCAACTCGAAAACGAAGACCCCTAAATCTCGAAAACGAAGCACCCAAAACTCGAAACCTCTGTAGGTTTAATAAGTGCAACTTTACGTCTTATATGACGCAATCCGAATCAGGTGGAGGCAGCGGATGCGTCCGCACCTCTAAAGGTCCACAAAATCCATCCCAAGGTTTTATAACCAACTGTTTCACTGAACGTTTCTTTATAGGATATCCTGTATTAATTTTATTATTAGTCTCGCTATACTTGACACATCTTACCATTACGAAAGTCAAGACGGCTGGTTATAAAAGCATGAACCAAAGCAATTAAAGGATCTCTCGACAGGTATTTCTTAATACGTCTCAAGTTGTGTAAATGATAAAATGCCGCATTACAAGCCTTGTTTATATGATCAGTCATGCTTTGAGTTGCTGTCAAACCACGATCCATGGTTTTTAACACATGGGCTTCGATTAATACGATTATTGCCCATAGTAATGGAACACGTATCTAGTTTTTAGCCGGTAGGAATCTGTAATTTTAATACTAGTCGAATGTGGCTCATAAACAGAATGTACGGATCCGTCTTAATTTATACATACATACATACATACATACATACATACATACATACATACATACATACATACATACATACATACATACATACATACATAGTTTATTTGGTAACGCAGGTTACAGAATACGCAAGACTGAAGTCCTTATGTGGACCTGCCTATCTACTTGTTAAAAACTAAAGTATATACATGTGAATAAACAGAAAATCAACAGGAGTTAAATAATAATAATTTATGCGGAATAAATATGAAAGAACACACAACCAGCCGGCGCTGACTAAAATTGGAAAATGCTTTGGTGCCGGGATTCCATCTCTGACGTCAGTTTGTCGATGACTGTATATATAAACGACGGACGTCACACAAGACAGAGGCGCGGAGCTTACAATGTAGCTGTCTTAGCATGTTGGCGATCCAGGAATATGACCAAAGAGTTCACTGGCTCGCGAAGAAGACAATAACAAAATTACTGCCTAAAATGATTGGTAGAATGCACATATCAATGAATGTCAACTGCTTTTTGAGGAGTCTGCATGAAAAAAGACAATTTTTTGAACTATGGTAACAATTACATTGCCTACTAATATATCACTACAAAATGTTTTAATTATTAAATATTTAAAAAAGATGGTAACTCTTGTAACTTTTTATTCACCATTTTCATATAGACCATAACGCACCTTGTTTACCCCTCAAAATTTTGCATAACCATTGTTTCCAATTTCTCCTGGGTATTACAGTCATCCCAAGAAAAATACAAGACAATGTTTATGCAAAAATTTGGGCGGGGGGGTAAGCAAGGTGCATTATTGGATATTGGTCTATGTGAAAATGGTGAATTGTAAGAAAAAGCTCAGCTCCAGAACTCTTCTCTTAGCTAATAAAGTACAATGGTAATGAAGCGCGTCAGACTTCTTTGTTTTATGTTTTTGTGAACCTGACGGTGCACGGAGTTCCTTTTGACCTATAAAAACGTCGCGTTTTATTCACAGAAAACAGAAAATTGTGCACCGTCCGGCAGCTTCCAGCAAGGACTGTATTAAACCATTGTTTTTATCTCTTTTGCTTGCCGCACCTTTCACAACCAGTCTCCTCTACTAACCATGATCTACTTAACGAGAGGCGAGCTTAGAGTCATAGTAACTTGCTTTCTTTGCATCTGAAACGCGACAATATAAAATCATACAAAGTCTAGAAGATTATTAATTATTATACCGAACTACACTATCCACAGGGCCCGGTTCCTGAAAGACCGATTGGCGATGATCCAGGATTAAAATTTTGGTCCAGTTTTTGTATTTACTTTCCTATACATTGCTTAATGTAACATTACTGTATCTCAGAGTAAAGCTAGGCTCAGCAGTATTTTGTAAGCTTGAGTTACATGCTCTAAGACAAGAAAACCGTGCTTAAGATTTGACTTAGTCTTGGTTTAAACTAAAACAACTTTGGGGAACCGAGTCCTGGATATTATCCTCCTCGTTATCCACCTAAGAGCTTGAATGAATAGGGCCAGGTGGTTATAAAAATTTAGCTGAACGATTTAGTTCCTCTAAAATGATTTACTAAGAATCACATATCATTTATTAAAGTGAAAAAGTGCGTACAAATGTGTACGTTTTTGGCTCATTTAAACATTTTAACCTGACAAAAGGGTAACAAAAATTCTGAGAATAGCTGCGCAGCTACGGCAAACATGGAAGCCAAGAATTACTGTATTCTATCGAATCCAGGCTAGGTACCTCATAGACGCGAAAACTCGGGAAACGGGTATTTCAACAAAAGCGGAATTGGATAATCGATTGAAGGCCTACTGTCCCCTTGTCTTGCAAGAATTTAGATTTATAATAAGTCCATTGCCACGTTACAATCTCGTTCAATTTAATTTCAGGTCTTGTCTCCTCGTCCTCCCATAATGACCATGGTTTAAAAGCTGTTTTCAGCATGGGCGGAATAAAGGGTGACGTCTTTTTTTCTCAGCCTCAAGTTAAGGGCCCCACAAGTGTTATTGTCAACTTAACTGGCGTCAATGAAACTCTGATGTGGAGCATTAAAGAGCTGCCAATGATCTACGATGGTAATGCGGCCTTCAGCTGTAACTCAAGCGCAGTGGGAGCAGTGTTTGATCCTGAGATGGCCATGAAAGCTGCAGACTACGCCACCCAGTGTAGGTTTAGCAGTAATTCAAGATTTGAGGCCTGCGCAGTTGGAGACTTGGGGAAAATGCTTGGAGACATAACACCGAGTAATGCAGAAATGAATCACACAGATCAGAACTTGGTCATTCCAACTAGAGGACCTCACAACATTATGGGTAGGACACTTGTCCTTTACAGCGGCGACACTCCCAAAGCATGCGCACTAATACGTCCTAATCAACACATGATAACAACTGCTGTAGCCGTTTTCAAGGCTCCAGTTGCGGGATTTATCTATTTGAGACAAGCGAATCAGCATTCGGATACTTCTATTTTTGTTGATCTCTTTTATGTCAACGATGCACAATCATCCAAACAGTTTACTTGGCAAATAAACCAAGGAGTGGTCGACGTTGACTCCTCAGACCAAACAACCTACTGCAAGCCACTGGGCGAGAGGTTCAACCCTACAGACAGCAATAGTGAAAACTGTAACCAGACCATGCATGACAATTGTCCCATTGGTGACCTGTCTTCCAAGCATGGAGATGTCACAGTTTCCTTGGCAACCCCAACGCAATCACAAAATAAAGTGGCCTTCACCGACACTAACTTGCCCTTAAGTGGCGCTAACTCTGTTATCGGTGAAACGATAGTTTTGTTTTCAGTAAGCGACCCAGGAAAGCCAATCGCCTGCGCAAAGATCATGACTCTGAAACGAAAGGAGTTTGAAGTTTCTTTTAAGGCTTCCGTCAATGATGGTGTAAGTGGATCTATCAAGTTTACTCAGGCATCTCCCTTTGATCCCACAACAAGTGTATTCAGCCTAATTGGTCTCGCCGAGAAAGCTGAAGGGTATCACATACACGTTTATCCAAGCCCCGAGTACAAGCATTTGTCCGCAAAGGATTCGTGTTCTGGACTTATCGCAGGAGATCACTGGAATCCATTCAACATCAATATCAAGACAAGCCCTCCTGCAGGCACAGGTAATTACAGTGTAGCTTCTTTTTTATTTTAAACTAGCTTTTACAAGGTTTAATCAAGAGAAAAATCAACGAGAATATATAAAATGATGACCAAATGGAATTCAAAATGCTCTGATCTTTTGACGAATTCTCTCCGTAAATTCTTTAAGGAACTATCCTGGTATGGAGATCGGTTTGGAGAACTGGATATTGAGACGTAAAGGGTTAACGTAGACTTTCTCAAAGTCCTTCGCTTCTCATTTCCGGTTTCATGTAATTGGCCCCCGAGCTTTCGCTCTCTCGCTCGCTTTTGCCGCAGAAAACATAAAAATCTACCGCTCGCGCTTCGCGCTCGTGACAAAATTTGAGCTCTACTTGTAGGCAAGTCAAGGGTTAACGCTGTTGCGACTTCTGTTTCGTGCTACACATCCTATGCACGTTTTGCAAAGTATCACGGAAATTATCACAAATGTCCGTGCCAGCTTTCGCGGGAATGTTAAAGTTACGCCCACTGATGCATGCCAAAAAATTGCCTCTGAATAGCAAGGGAAACGCTAAGTTCATTCCTCAAGGTTTAGGTAAATTATGATCAACGCTTTTTACTAAGCGATTTCCCCAAACAGCACCGTCAAACCTGAAAACCTTGGACTTCAATTCGGAAAAATTAAGGAATCCTTTAATTCGAATTTAAGATGCCAAAAAGGCCACAACGTGTGAAACAGACATTGGGCATTCATTTGATACCATATGCATTGTACAATAAAAATCTGTATCTTGAACAACCATGTCTAGTTTACCAACCCTCCTGCTTTTAATGCTACCTATTGAGATAAATATTGCCTCATACATCTTATTTTGTATCTCAAAGACCTCTAAGTCAACGGAATTTTTTAACCCTTTAAGCCCTAAGAGTGGTCAGCATGAAATTTCTCCTTATAATATCAATGCTTTAGAAAACAGAGTGGTGATGAGAATTGAGTACATGATCAGGGAAGTCTAATTGATACTTCAACAAATACTCCCCACTACTTCTATTGAAAACGTATAGGGACAACAAATGCGAATAACAATTTTAATATTAGGGTTAAAAGGGTTGAGATGCCATAGCTGAGACGACATTGCGGAGAACGGCACAGCCATTGCTTTGCATGATAGCCTGAGAAAACACTAAAACCGACATCTCAAGGCGCCACCACTGGTTTCCTCGCGAAATAACAGGGAGCTTAAGCAACGACGACGGCGACGGCAACAAGAACGGCAAAAAAGCAATAGGTTTGGATTGGTAACTGACAACAACTTTGCAAGTGCATCACGCTTTTTTGTCATTTCTCAACCGTCGTTGCACGACTACAAGTAACGTGAAATTTCACGTTTTGTCGAGGACGGAAACACAAGACAACAAATTTCTTTTTCTTTTCCTGAACTTTGATACAGTCCTTTAGAATTCAACTCCAGAAAAAATTGCCAACTTTTGACGAATTAAACGAGATGGAATAAGCGCGATAAAGTTTGAAGCAGCGCGAATTCACTTTTTAAATGACGTTTTCCTAGCCGTCGCCGTCGTTAATTTGTTGCTTAAACTCCCTGTTACGTCTGAGAAACGACTGCAGATCGAGATTCCATACTGATGAAACTTTTCGAAAGCCAACTATTTGTTTGTTTGATTGGTTCTGCCCGGCGTTGCTGATCGGCTCTTGCTTTACGTTCATAATCCTTGTTACTCGCGCATGAGAATTTCAACTTATGAAATTTTGAAATGAAATAACTGCAAAAAACACATATACGCTCTTCCCACGTACGGTAATATGCCCGTCTAACCTCGTTTTTGAGTAAAAAATCCTTTGAAATGCTAATCAGACGACGTTTTCGTATTTGAATTTCAAAAGAATTTTTACCCGTAAACGAGGTTAGACGGGCATATTACCATATGTGAGAAGAGCGTATTATGTTTCGTCTTCTAAGACGTGCAAACAGCGATTTTTCACCTTGTGAAAACTTAACAAATAGGGTACTACACCATTTTGTCTATTTTCTAGGAACGGACGATGAATATGAAATCGGCGACTTGAGTGGAAAATACGGATCCTTTTTAAACCTTACAGAGTACATCGAACAGCACGAGGATTATAACCTGCCACTGTTTGGAAGGTACAGCATCCAGGGCCGTTCGCTTGTTATCCATAAACTGAAAAAAGACGGAAACAAGCGATGGGTTTGTAACAATCTCATGCCAGTAAATGATGCAGGGACTTTGTATTTCATGAAAGCTAGTGCAAATTTTACTGGACCGACACTGTCAGGAATGATTTTAATGGTGAGTTGACATAACAATGACTTCACATGTATCTGTAGCATTGTAAACCATTATTTCAAACACTCCATTCTGGCACTACTACTAGGGAGCAATAGAAACGACGACAGCGACAGCAACGAAAAAAAAAAAAGAAGAAAAGAACATTTTTTTTACTAGTAGCAAACTTTCTGGTACTTTTCTTTGCTCCCATTGCATGTAACCCCGAAAACCTGATGTTAAAGTGCCTTAGCCCCTGTTATATGGCAAAGGGGGTGGCCCTCTCAGCCGAGTAAGCTCTAGCGCACGTTCATATGAGAAAATATTCAATCCTTTTGCCCAAGACAAGAGCACTCGCGCATGTTCTGATTGTCTCGCCTTCGCCGAGCTGACCCGGCTGGGTGAGCCAAAGTGTTTATATAGGGAAAAGTTACCCTCCCTAACATTAGAAAAGGGTGACCGCTACGCTAGTCAGAGTAAATTCAGGCGTTTCTGGAGGAAATGGAGATCATTTGGTGTCCGTTTAAGAGAGTTTTCATTTAAAGATAATTTTTCATTGACTACTTATTTCTTGCTCTTTTCACACCAGTAAATTTTACAGACTGCCGAGGATACTGCTTGTTTGCGGACCGTCGAACCTCACAACGGCCATGTCGGCTGACAAGAATAAAAACGTCTTTTTCCGCTAGAAACTAAACTCATTTTCATGCAAATTCTGCAAAAAAAATGTTTTATTTTGTTAACTAACATGGCTGCCTTGTAACTTTGGTGCAAACCAAGAGTACCCCATCGGCAAGAACATTAACCCTTTAATTCCCAAGAGTGACCAACATCAATTTTCTCCAAACCGGAAAGGAAACATTATGAGAACTGGTGAGCACCAAAGAAAAAGTGCTTTGATCTCTATTAAATTCTCCCAACTAATTCTCTAAGAAAATGCATGGAGATGAGTCTGGAGAATTTGTATGGGGATATTGCGGCTTAAAGGGTTAACACGAGAACATTAAACTCCTGAATCAGTGTTCTGACTAAGAGTTTTATGTGGCTGAAATGAACATTGCTTGTCATTTATTCAAGTTAAGCGTAAAATTTTCTTTTACTAGGATCAGTACTTTTCAAGCGAGGAGAATACTGCTGCTGAAGAGTCCACTATTTTCGTTGAAATCATGAATGCAACCCAAGCACCGGTCGTAAGTTATTCTACATTGTTATGCAGATAGTCGTTAATTATGCTTATATCTCTATGCGTTTTGTCCTCGTGCCTACAATGAAACGGTCAAAAGCGAAGGTTTTCGATAGTGGAGGTTTATGGCAACGGGGGTTTACGAGAACGCAGGGCAAGATTTTTATGGACGGTCGGCGGTAAAAATTTTCAAAAAGGCTTGGACGTAATAACATCACTTGCATAACCCGGCTTCGATCCTGAGTGACCAGAGAAAATACAAGAAATGTACACTCTAAAACCATTATTTTATTTCCTCTGAACTGAATTTTTCATTTGAATTCAAATTTGTTTGTTACACTATAATCTTCTTCACTTTCGGAGTTCGATTCTAGAAGCAAGTTAAAAAACGGAGTGAATAGACGAGAACATAACTGGCTGTTTAACTGAATTCGCGACTTGATAACCAGCGGGTAACGACAGCGCGCGAAATTTATGCGTTTTTGATGTTAGTATGGCAGCCTGTGCTAAATAAGAAAGAGAAAGGATCCGTAAGTTTTCCAGTCGGGAATATACTAACTGCATTTTCTTCATTCATAACCTTCTCTCCTATATTGCCCGTCAACTAGTGTTATTTTCTTTGTCATCAGATCGGTTACCATAAGTGGGACGTACGTAGCAATCCTGTTGGTAACGATGCTACTGCTGCTGATTCCAGCAAGAGGTGCCAGAGTTTGGATGGACAGTTTAATCCCTATAATGTTTTTACTGAGGTAAGGTTCCTGAAGCTGCCGGTAGAAATAAATTAATTTACAACAAACCTTTCCTAACATAAAGGGCTTTCACAGGAACTGATAATGAACAGTCGAACCTCCCGTAAGCGACCACCCAAAATGCTTATATTTAGTGATCGCTAACGGTAATTGAATCACATTCAGAGAAATGGTCCCGACACATCTACTTGTTGGAAGAGAAATTAAATATGCACTTTCTAAGTTATGTAAACATGTACGGTTCAATTCCATGTTTTTGGCACTGAAAGTTCATCGTACACCTTATGCATCTCAGTGGCCGATCCAGGGGAGGGGCCCGGGAGACCCGCCCCGCCCCCTTATTTTTAGACCAAACTATTTTTTTTGGAGACCAGGCCCCTCTCTTATGGATGACCCCTCCCCTCCCCCCCCCCCCCCCCACCCCCCAGCTCGTCCTCCCCCCTCCTCTCTCCTCCCGGGGCGGCACACACAACACACAGACACACCCCACAGCAACCACTGTAATCACAGACAGGCGAAAAAATACAAAAAAAAAAAAAAAACAAGAACAAACAAAAAGGACAGGAAGCTCAGAACCAAGAGACTCTTTAGACGCCCCCCCCTCGTTCAGTGTGGGCGCGCCTCCGGGGGGGGGGGCGGCGAGGCCCCGCCCCCCCCCCTTTTTTTTTCCCCAACCTTTTTTTTTTGGGAACCCCCCCCCTCTCTTTGGGTCGCCCCCCCCCCCCCCCCCCCCCCCCCTTCTCGGAGGGTCGGGACCCGCCACTGTATCTTCTATCGTGGTACATACAGCGAACAAAGAGACCATACTATGTGTCAAGTGGTCTCTCACAGAAGAGCAAAAACAATGGAAAACTATAGAATCGTCAGACCCGAAAAGAGGTCGTGGTCGCTTACCAGAGGTGGTCGTTTTAGAGAAATTCTAAAATTCTGTAGGGCGTTGACTGGGAAAAATTTGGTGTCAGTTTTGGATCCGTGGTCGTGTTGGAGGGTGGTCGCTTACGAGAAGTGGTGGTCGCATATGGAGGTTCGACAGTATCATGTTTATTCACTTCTATTGTTTGTATCCTCTGGGCCTCAAAACTGTTTTCATGACGCGGTTAATGCACAGCATAATTCGCTGCATATTCTTTTAGGTTATGAGACTTTGTTTAAGTTATGAAGACAAGTGCAACTCGAAGCAGTCGACGGACTTTGTTTAAATATAAGCTAGCAAAAAAAACTGTGTTTTCAGCAAAATAATTATAACATAACAGAAAAGGGGATACAATTCAGCAAAAGGAAATGAAAAATAAGTACGTCATTCCTTCTTGTCAATGGGAATTGTTTTGTAATATATGTTGCTTATTATTCAGGGAAACTACCCCTCTGCTTGTGGCCCAACAAACATGCTTCGCTGTCAGTCAGGAGACATGAGCAAAAAACACGGAGTATATATGGTGGGCGAAGGTCGACAACTGTACAATGATGTTAGCCTGCCATTGTTTGGCCACAATTCAGGTGCGAGTCTTTCTGTCGTAAGGTATTTGATGCCGCTCAACTAAAAGGGATATAGGTGTTCAGTGTTGAAACGTAAAAGATCCAGTCTCCTCTTACAGAGTAATAAAAAATAGTCACTCTAAAAGAGCTCTCTTAGAAATTCCCCCTTAAAAGGCTATACCTAATTAGTATATTCAACTAGTGGTCTATTATCAATGCTGCGTTCTGATTGGTTAAGCTACTGCTAGGCCATATGTTAAGCCCTTTAGTAGCGAAAAGCGCCGACTTTTTGGCGGCAAAAAAGGATTAAAGTCTATTGTAGCTTTAACTTGCTAAAGTTGTTTTGTCTTGATATTTTTGACCAACTAGTTGGAGTTTACTAAAACAATTATTCCTCTCGTCCTCATGGCCTCTGATTCGATAGCCCATTCGGCCTTCGGCCTCCTAGGCTATTGACTCAGAGCCCATTCGGGCTCGAGGAATAATTGTTAAATAAGTGGATAGGGATTAATTCACAAAGGGGAAGGATTGCGGAATATCAAAATATCAACACGGTGTTGTTATTGAAATTTGTATGAGAAAAATGATGGTGAATATTATATCAAAAAATGATATAAAAGACGATGGTGGTGATTGACATTATGAGAGTCTTATGATATTTCCGCTTCTCTCTCCGTTAATCACTTTCTCTCTGGTAGCACACTTGTCAATACAGTAAACTTGAACAAAACGGGGGCCACCAAGAAATTGCTAGAGTACGTAAGATTTGTTACATCGAGTGAGCCAAAAAATACTCCAATCTGGAGTCAGTCTGTTCCAGCCAAATGAGGACATACATCTGTCTTACAGTGCTGCCCTGGTCTGTTGAGTTCTTGCAAAGCTGAGGTTTTAACGTGTTATTAACTTTAATGCTATTCGCTTGTTAACAAACTGAGCTGTCTGTAATAGAAGCCTTTCCACAAGAAGAGGATCAACTGTGTTGTCAAATCGAAGAAAATTTTCATTGAATGCCCCTTGATTTGTCAGGGTTTCATCCAAAAACAGTCAAGATTTGTTTCCAGTTTTCTTCTTTCTTGATGGGATTAGAAGTTGCAATTCATTTCTGGCAGTTTGCTATTTAACCCACAATGGAGGTCAAAAGTGTTAGGACCTTTCCAGTGATATTAGTAAAACTAGCGACCCCTCCCCTGTCACCCCAAACAAAGTTGAATTTTGAGCAAAATTGGGCGGAAAGGAGTGCTTTTTTTGGCCACAAGATTGCTGGGGGAAGTGAGGGGACGACGGGTTGAACCCAAAAATTTTCATTAGGAGCGGAGTGCTACGTAGCAATTACTTGAAAGAGCTTTTTCACACAGTCCCAAGTTCTTTTGTCCTCCATTGGAGACTTGAACCTCTACTAATCATATCACCTTGCAAGGCTACTTGTTAAAAAAAAAGATCGATCACTTGTTGTCATTTGTTTTCTCAGTTGTCGGCCATGGTATAGTATTGCACCGACAAGATAGCATTGGTTGTGCGAACATTGAGGCTGACTCATCGCTGTTTGTGGAAAAGTCTCTGGAATTTGTTAAAGCTAGCTCCTTTTCCAAGTGAGTATAACCTCATGTATTAGAAATTATTTTTAACTGGGCATCATTTTCAGAGAATTAAGGCGTCTCAAGGTTCGTTATGGCATTGATTTGCTAGTACAGAGAACTCAGCTTGGTTATGATATTCGATGTTCGTAACTTCTAACTCAACACAACTCATAAAAAACTTAATGAATGTCACGTCGACCTTAGGATTTCTGGATCCCAGCCTTATCAGGTTGGCTTTCCTTAGAAAAAACACTTTGTTTCACTTGTCTTTCTTCACCCAGGTGAATGACCCAGAACCGCATTAGTTTCCGCCAATTAGTGTTGTCCAATAGGCCTTTGGAAGCTAGCCCAGAAGCTTAGCCTAAGTTTTTCCTTTCTTTTCAGGGCTCATTTTGCAGACGTCGTGTCCAAAGCGTTGAATATTCCAAAGTGGCGATTGTTCAACATTCATACAGAGAAAGCCGAGAATGACAAGTGCCAAATAGCCAAGTTTGGGATCATTGGCAAAGGTATGCCATTGTAACGACGTAAAACTCTCCAGGATTTACAGAAGCTATAGCTGGCGTTCACATGACGACATCAAAATTCTAAAATAAAGAATTATCGATCCTCCTGAGTTTTACGTTCATGAAGTAGTAGAGCAGCTGAAAACTAATATTCATACAAATTCTCACCTCAAAAGGGCTCTTGGTTTTGTAATATAGTGCGGTTGAATTTCTAAGCTTTTGTATCTGCCTGGACACCAACATGGCGTCTCCATACAAAACGCAAAACATTTGGGTAAATCATTTCCTCGAATATCTCTCATATGAAAAATTGCAGTGGCCTGAATTTTTGCGAGGATCTTTGCATATTCACTTCCTTTCATATCCCAGATTCTGGACCTAATCCATTGAACGGTTTTGATTTTTTGATGGCGTGACGGTGAAAGCCAGCACTTTGTTATTTGCTATTCCAATAATTCCGATACATAGATATAGGTGTATTAAAACCTCTAACCACTGAACTCCGCATATCAACGGAAATTGCAGGTAATCAACTCCACGAGCCGGAGAGAAAATTTAAGGAGGTTTTAAATTCCAACCCCGACGCCTTCGACAAGTATCGTCCGAGCGACGACTGTGGTGAGTTCAATGAATTTTTTTTTATTATCAAGTCAAAATTAACCATCCTTTTATTTGTGACAAGACCCCTTCAAAGCCGCGTATGAATAGAAAGACACTGGAATGACTGAAGTTCGGAGGGAATTCACGGGGCAGGTATCCGTTTGGGGAGGTGTCCCTAAAGAGGGCCCGTAGAACTGAGTTTCCTAGAAACGACGATTGAAGCCACTACAGGTTAATGAATGATGACTTGATGTGGTTACTGACTTTCCGTTTCATCCTTTTTTACAGCACCCGAAACAAGTGGAGCTCGTCATAACTCCGTGGACATCTATACTCTGGGGATGGTTGTAATGGCTATCCTTTATGCGAGGAAGCTGAAAGTGTTTTGAATTCAAATAATAAGCTTGATGAGTTCTTTGTCAATTATCGCAGCAAATTACATTAAATGGGCACACGACGATTGCACCAAATAAAACTAAAACCACTGCCTAGAATTTAGATGGACAAATATTACTGCACAAGCACAAGCGGGAAAATGCTTTAATTCATGAGCATAAATCCTGTAAATAAAATTACAGTAATTTGCTAAATAAAATTCCAATTTTAATTTACATGTTTTGATTTATTTTGACAATAAGTTGGTGAGGGTGGGCCAGTTTGGGCAGGTAAGGGGTCGATATCTCGATGAAGATAATCAGATTCCCGTTGAAGTAGAATTAACTATGATCATGAGTTGATTTTTAAAATCGATTGCTAATTATTAGGTCACCTCCAAATAAATCCAGTTATTATTCAATGAAAATATTTCTCCGTTTGTGATTGGCTAAAAGCACACGCATAATTCACCATAACCAGCCACTGTTGACCAAATTTGAAAGAATTTTGCGATTAATCAACCGATGACGTCAAAAGTGCAGCACAGTTGTTAATGCACTGTTAACCGAGAATATATGGGGACAGGTTGAGTTGTTTTGGTTGTGGAAAGAAAAATGGCCGAACAGTCGGCGGAACATTTTACTCGTTTCACTACGAACTCTTGTCTAAAAACATAGCAAAAAGACAACTCGACGGACAACATCTGCTATTTGGAGTATATTTGCAGACCTGAACAGCCCTTTATCTTCTAAACATGCACTATCGAGCTGAACTTAACATCGACGAAGGTAACCATGTTTTAGCTTGTTTTTAGACTACGAATTATTTTGAATGAACAATAAAGCAATTAATGAATTCGGCTTTCGTGGGACATAAAGAAATATGCAGATCTCGGAGGGTGTTATCCTCGGTGGATAATACCCTCCTCGATCTGCATAATTCTTCATATCCTACTCAGCCTCGTTCATTAATTGGTAAATATTTTAGGAGTTGTGCATATTTTTTTTTACGCGAATCGGCTTTTGGTCCTCACGAGCAAATCTGCTCACTGAAACCTCACCCCCTCTTTTAAACTGCTTTCCGGAGGGAGTGGTTTTTAAACTTAAATTAAAAGGCCCCGTCCATGGATAAAGGAAATGCGGTTTCAAAAATGTCCATACAGTCAACTCTCTCTTAACGGACACCTCTTTAAGACAGACACCTGGTGCTGGTCCCTGCCGTTTTTCAGTCATTTTACTGTAACTATACTCTCTATAAGACGGACACCCGGTGTTGGTCCCTGCAGTTTTCCAGTTATTTTACTGTAACTATACTCCGTATCAGACAGATAACTCTTTAAGACGGATCACGGACACTTTTGAAACCGTCAACGGCGGACAATTTGGAAGTGATTTATGCAGTGAAAAATACCTCAAAACGGAAATGTAGGTGCTCTACATGATAGTAAATTGCAAAATGTATATGTTTGATATTTTGTAGTCTTTCTCCAGTTCTCAGATTGTATACTATTAAGCTTTCAGACCACGAAGCCGTGAACGTTTGCTTGTAATAAACGTTTCATTGCAAAAGGAGAAGATAATTCCATTATTCTGTTACAATGTTCCAGTTTTAGCTATTTTGTACAAGTTAAACAGACGTTTATTATAGCGAATAACTTCAGCTCTTAAATCACTTGCGTCACGTTACCTCGACTCTCTATAAGCCGGACACCTCTCTAAGACGGACAGTCAGGGCCGGTCCAGAAGGTGTCTGTGTTATATAGGGAGAGCTGACTATGTGTTCGTAAGAACTGGCTCTCAAAAACTTAGTCATTATGAGTAGAGACAATCATTATGACCAAAATAAATTCATTATGACTGAAGTGAACTACCATAAGCAAACACCATTTTTTATGACCTTAACCAATTGCTCTATTTCTTTCGTAGCCTTCGTCGCAGACATTCGAATACACCGAATGAAATCAGTCCAAATGGATAACATGACTGTCATCAGTACAATTAATTATTTTACGAGTAAACTTTCCTTTGACTTGTGAAACGATTTACTTCTTAAAGTAAAAGCATGATATTACTACTTGTAACAAAACATGTGTGACATTCTTGGTATTTATTGCTGTATGCTGAGTCACCGTTGACACTTCAGCGATGAGGTTGTTGACAATAGCCAATAAGCGATGTTCCGATTTCAGATAAGTCAACTAATGGTTTGCAGTGTCACTCAAGAGCCTTTTTGGCAATCAGAGTAATGCGATGAAGAAAGATTATCTCTGAGGTTTGTGGGGCGGAGGTTCTAAGGAGTCCAAAAAATGCGGTTTTACGAGTATCAAAGGCCAGGCCACCCCCGAGGGGGGTGGGTACTCCCTTATATAAGCTATATAGGTATGTGCCGCCCCATCGGGTAGGGTTTTTGCGCCGTTTTGGTCAGAAAAATGGTATTTGGTTCTCTAGGGAACTACGGGAGTGTAGGAACGTAGTTATCGTTTTAATTCCAAGAATAAGAGCGAAATAGAAACATGCGAATTCGATATGCATTTGAAGAATTCTTTTGTTTGCGTTTTAATCTAGGTAATGATGACATAATTTCTGCCTAAGGCCAGGTCTGAAAGTGGAAAATGACATTTTTCACACCAACCAAGAATTCCCAGGAGCAGCCCCCCCCCCCGCCCCCCGGAACCCACCGCACGAAAATATTTCTTAGATTTGGGGGGTAAACAACTAAAGCAAACGGTATTGCATATTACTGATAGATAGCTTGTCAGGCCAATGGGATAAATCTAGATAAACTTTTCATTGCCTTCAACAAATATTATTCACGCTATTAGACCTAAAATAATCTCGTTCCCATGAAGCTTAGTGCGACTACTCTTAAAATATACGGGCGCCGTTGTTTGACAGATTCCGTCGTTTGATGATTGAGGCAATACGGTGAATCACGCACTGCTGTGTATTTCTTGTGGTAAGTTAGTTGCAAGTTAGCTGTTAATTTAAATTGAGGGACGCTGACTGGAACTGACGATTGTTGTTTTAAAAAGTTTTATAGGAGAAGTTTTTTGCCAACGGTTATTTGTACTAAGGTGAAGTGTCTGACGCATTTGATGAATATCATGATCGATTATCTATGATCAACATTAATTACAGCATCTTAGAAATCTAAACACTTCTCTCTCGCTTAACGAAACAAGTAGCACCAGGGCAAAACAAGAAAAAACATTGCATTCTTTTGCTAACTAATACTTGCAACCCTTCCTGACGTTTACTTAGCGATTCGATTCAGACAAATAATCCGGTTATTTAGTCCCAACTGGCGAATCAGTGACCTCTGTCTTATCTTATTCATGTAATACCTCAAGCCTATTTTGTTTTGTTCATTGCCCTTACCTTGCCTTGGCTAAATTTGAAACATTTTCATCACGTTTCAACATTACCAGGACTGGTGTAAGAGGCCAAGTCGAGCTAAACGAAGTATTTCAGACATTTCTGTCTTTCATTCTTCTTTTGGCTCAGGTTCTAGATAAGTCATGCAGCAACTGTCCTCTTTGTCAAGTGTTCTGGAATTTTATTTACGCTGTTTACAAGGGCATTTGGCACAAAATGATCTAGTTGACATTTAATGCAATATACATCATTTCACGACTTCATCACACTCATTACAAAACGTTCATTAGTTGTGTTTTAGTTAATTTTTCTTTCCAGTTAAATTTTATTTTTCCTTTGTTATTGGGTATGATAATGAGTTTGAAACAAAGGAAAAATAAAATTTAACAGCAAATTAGAATTAACTGCAACATATGCATTCTTCTCCGCCAAAGCCTAGCGTGACCTTATATCGTTATTTATCCGATTCATCATTGCTATCTTTACTGCTTGACAAATATTTATAGTATCCTGTTAATTAAGACAGCCAAATACAATGCCGGATCCAGACCCTTAGATAAGGGGGTGGGGGGGGGGGGGGGGGGTCCCGAAAAAACCCCTTAAAAGAGGGGGGGGGTCCCCCAAAAAAAAATTTTTCGCCCCTTCGGGCCCGTGTTTGGTTAAAAAATATCTTCGATCAATTACTTCTCTTCCACTTCTATTATTGTGCTTTAGTGAGTATTTATTCTTTTTCTTTTGTTATTTGTTAATTTTTGCGATGAAAAACAATACAAAGGCATGCAGGGAGAACAGGCAGCAAAAGGGGGGGGCGAGGGGGGGCGAAGGGGGGGGGGGGGGGGGGGGGGGGGGGGCGGTCTCCGAAAAAACCCTTAGATAAGGGGGGGGGGTCTCCAAAAAAAATGTTTTCGTCCCTTCGGGCCTCAGTTTGGTCTAAAAATAAGGGGGGGCCGGGCCTCCCGGGCCCTTCCCCTGGATCCGTCACTGAACTATCTGAACGCCTGGAACAGGCACCAGTGACTTTGAACAAAATAAGAGACTGCTCGCAGTCTAGGCTATATGTTTTGTTGGTTTGTGCTGAGTGCACTTGCACTATAAAGACACCAGCCTTACCATGTACTATTTTCTTTTACGGAATAATATTTGCCATCTGACCATTCCTTTCTGGGACAAGTAGTCGCTTATTTTTCTCAGAGATTGTATTCAATTACCCCATTTTCCCCCAAGTCTTCCGCCACAAAATCACATGATACACATGAAATTTTCAGAATTTTACTTGTATTTTCACACTTCTTGCGAAATTTGACATTCATTTCCTCGGACTCCCATGAGAAATTTTCTTTGGTGTTATTACAGATGACTAATTACATCTTTAGCCCTTGAAAAATGCAAAGAAAGAATGCAATGTGCTTTAAATTATTCTGGTACAAGGTTTTTGTCCACTGAATATTAAAATTAAACTGAAATTACTCAATTTCCTGGTGGGTTCCGTTCACCACCGAATGCTTCCGCGGTTTGCTCCCAGCGATTTTTTTTGTCTGGGAACTCAAACATTATTTTCTGTTGCAACTGAAGTCTGGCGGGTAACCTGCTGGATCTCAGTTGAAACATAAAATAATAACGTGATCTCGCAAAACCTCCTCAACAGTCTGGGCCACATGGAGTCATATTTGTATATTGAAACTGAAATCAAGTCTGTTTGCGCGCAGTTGTAACTCGACTTTATGCTTAGGGAGGAACACTTATAGAAGAGAATGTGAGAGGCCGAGCATAACGCTTCGGAATCAAGTAGAGTTACTGATAAAAAAAATGTATGAATTGACCACTTTCAGACTGAAAACCTCAGCTAGCTAGTTTGACTTGTGGAGAATCTGAACTTTAATATTTTAATTTCCTTTTTCGCTATGTAAAACAACTTTTGCAGCTTTCTCAAGGTTTAGGTCATGAGTAAATAAATTATCAGACCAAAAACCTACGCAAGTCTTGTGTGGCAGTACAACTAGGAATTAATATTTTCCAAGATACCCTGACAAACTAAAACAACAGTCAGCTGCAACAGTTTTTAATTATCAGAAAGAGTAAACTTATAATTAAGTATCGTGTTGAAAATAAGCTTGCCTTCCCGGGACAAATAAATAAAATCGCTATCATTTAATACCGGGTATGAAAATCTTTTAGACTTACATATAGGATTGAAATCCTTATTCTAATTCTAGTTCTTCTTAATAACCAAGACAAGACGTCAACCTTTTGAAATTAACCAAAAAAGAGTAGTATTGCATCCCAATTTATTTTCCTCACTTTTATGCCTACGGAATATATCTGTGACTGTGAGAACATTTTTTTTTTTATCCAGACCTGCGCTTTTTCAACAAATGATATATGTTTAGCTTCCAACGGCTTTTCTCCTTATTCATTGCTCTCCGTGTGTCTATTGCAGTAATTTGCAGTCATGGGCCTTACTGTTGACGATGTGTTTGAAGAGATCGGCAGCATGGGCAGATACCAGTACACCCTTGTGATGGTCATGGGTTTAATGAAGATGTTCGGGTACGCTTTCCAGGCCATGATCTCGACATTTCTGAGTGCCGAACCTCCTTGGCGATGCAAAGACAACAGCACTGTCTGCAATCTCACGGGAATCTTCAAACCAGGGGACGATAACTACGACTTTCGCTGCTCTATTTCTCGCCATGATTGGGAGTTTGACACCAGTAAATTCAACTCAGTCGTCTCTGAGGTAGTAAAAAAGTCTTTTTTAGTTTATTGACATCACTGTGGTAACGTTCAGTGGCTATAAATTAATCACAAGGACTTTATTTCTTGATGGACAATTATCGTAAGACTTAACCCGGTTGTTAGTTAACCGCAGCAGGATCAGCTAAGTCGGTAGAACGCTTGACTGCAGAGCGGGAGGTCGTGGGTTCGATTCCCGGGACCGGACCAACACTCAGGGTCTTAAAATGACTGAGAAAGGAAGATACTGCCTTTGCCCGACAAATGGCTAGACCTCCGCGTGGCTCGGATAACAACGTAAAATGGCAGTCCCGTTTCTAGTAGGAGACGTAAAAATAGTGTTCCCAATTAGTGCTTTCGTGCTAAATACGTTGACACTCAAATAAAGTGCCTTATTACTCTTTCATCGCTTCTTGTCTCTTTAAAATAACCAAATTAACCTAACTTTTAAAGTTAAAATTATTGTATAACTTGCAGTTACGAAGGAAAGGAATCCAGAAGTAACCACTTGGGTGGTACGTTAGTACATACTAATAATATCAGCACTACTCGAAGCATTGATAACAGTCGTTGTTTCCTGGCGCCATTTCTTTATTGTTGTTTTCTTCTTCTCCTTCCAAAGCAGTATTTATCCAGGCCGAGTTCCTAGAAAGATGGTTAAGTTTAACACAGGATTAAGCGAAATTTTAAGCACGGTTTTCTTGCTAAGAGCATGTAACTCAAGCTCAGCAAATGCTGTTCAGCCTTTACTCTGAGACACAGTAATGATTTACATAAAATGTTGCTCTAAGCAATGCATAGGAAGGTAAATACAAAAAGTGGATCAAAATCTTAATCCTGGATTAGCGCTAATCGGCCTTTCAGGAACCGGGCCCCGGTTTTTGTTTTGCCTGAGACAACTGTAGTGATACGGAGACGAATTATTTCAAGACTATTTTTAAGTTCGTATTTTCCTTTTTCCTTTCTCATTAGTGGGACTTAGTTTGCGACGTATCAGCTCTATCAAGTCTCACCCGATCTGTTTTGTTCCTGGGGTTTTTGATTGGCGTTCTTCTTGGAGGATTCCTTTCTGACAAATTCGGCCGCAGACTACTGGTTTACATACCGTGCTCCATGTGTAACGTTTTGGCCTTACTTGCGTCGTTTGTCCACGTTTACTGGCTGTACGTTCTTCTCAGGGTTTTGGTTGGTGTCTTTGTAGGTAAGAAGGACTTGTTTCAAATAGGGTCTGGAAAGGGAGGTCCTGATCCCGCATTCCCGCATTCTCACATTTTCCCTCCGCTCCTTTTTTTTACGAGAATCCCGCTTCCCGAACTTCCCTCTCGTTTCACGCTTCGCGCAAAAATGCCGCGTTCGCCTCGCTCGGCTCATAAAGCGCCTGTTATGCAGGTTGCTACTATTTTCCCCAAGAGCTCTGCATCATGTGCCCACATTTTGGCTTCCCACGTCCCGAGTAGTTGTCAAATTCCGTATCCCATTTAACGTTTTCCGAATCACGCACTGTATTTTGGTCATATCTCGGATCCAGGGAATAGCCTTCCAGACCCGGTTCATGTAGTTTGTTGTACGCTCCATTGTTATAATAATGAATCGATCTCTTCGGAGAAAAGAATCGCCTCTTTTGAGAGCTGGAAGGCGTATTGAGAAAATCTGTGTAATTTCTAAAGAGTTTCACTCAGCTTGAAGACGACACCAAAGACATTATCGTGATAATTCCTACTCGCTATTTATCATTCAAAGGCTTTTTCGAAGCTTTGATTGCCGGTCTATCAATCGTTATATATACTTCACTTTTAAATACGTTTACATGTAGTCTGCTCACACATGGTCTTCTCATGTACAGAAGAGAAAGAATTCTCTTCCTGTTGTTTCGCAGACTGGTCTATGTCTTCGGGAGACAATGGTGGCTCTGCGTACCAAACCAAATAAGCACGTTGGTTGAATGATTCAACCCACCCACTCATGATTGTGATTCATTAATTTCAATATTTTAATTGGTGAAAATCGTCTCTGCCTTTGGCATCGACCCATAGATGATCAGCTCGCAATTGGCAAATTCTTAAATCTCTCCAGTAATTGCTTATTTTCGCTAGGGTGTGGTACATTATGTGCCTACGTTTTGACGGTGGAGTTCGTCGGCAAGCGTCATCGCCATGCGGCGGGAACAGCGTTGTGGTTTTTCTGGCCTACTTCACTGATGATGATGGCCTTGCTGGCTTATCTCATAAGGGACTGGCGCACTCTTAATATAGTCGGAGCGGCCCCAGGCCTTCTACAAATCTTCCTTTGGTGGTAAGTAAACGTTTTTTACAAAATTTACCGTGTCAAAAAGAAAGGGTAGTCCAGCTTTTTAAGACAAGAAAACAGGCGAACAGAGACGCAACGGCCACAAGCAAGTAGTAGGCCCTAAAATAAATTGTATTATTGGGTGCATTTACCCTGGGTGCAAGAGTATTTCTCTCACGTTAGTGACGGGGTGATTCAGTGTCGACCTGAGGCCGAGAGATCTTCGGCTAAAAAGCGATGGCTGAAAGACCCCTGGTTGGAAGACCCATGGATATATGACCCCTGCTGGATGTAAGACCACTGGTTGCAAGAACCCAGGTTAAAAGACCCCTTGTTGTAAGACCGCTGATTGTAAGACCCTTGATTGTAAGGCCTCTGGATGTAACACCCCTGGTTGTAAGACCACTGATTGTAAGAACCCTGGTTTTAAGACCCCTGGTTCTAAGACCCCTGGTTGTAAGACAACTGGTTGTAATACCCCTCGCTGTAAGACCGCAAGTACCAAGGTCCCTGGTTGTAAGACCCCTGATTGTAAGACCAATGGATGTAAGCCCCTGGTTGTAAGACACCTGGTTTTAAGACCACCAGATGCAAAAACCCAGGCTAAAAAAGACGACTGGTTGTAAGACCACTGATTGTAAGACCCTTCGTTGTAAGATCGTAAGTACCAAGACCCCTGGTTTTAAGACACCTGGTTGTAAGACACATGGATGTAAGACTCCTGATTGTAAGACCCCTGGTTGCAGTAAGACCGCTGGTAGTAGGACCGATGGTTGCCAGACTCCTGGTTGTAAGAGTTTTGGTTGTAAGACCACAGGCTGAAAGACCACTGGTTATAAGACCTCTGATTGTAAGATCCCTGGATGCACACCTCTGGTTCTAAGACCCGGTTGTAAGACCCAAGGTTGTAAGACCCCTGGTTGTATGAACCAAGGTATTAAGACGTCTGGTTTTAAGACCCCTGGTTGTAAGACCCCAGGCTGTATTAAAACCCACAATCGGCGACAAAATGAGTTGAGACACTTCGCCCAAAACTGGGCTTTTTTACGTTTTATTAACTTCAAATCGAGGAAATATTGCTTTCCTCCCCCATCCCCTCCGTGCAATGTTGTGCCCTTGTTCTAGCTACCTATAGAAAACAACAAACACCCCAACTTTGAATGGAGGGGACAGGGGAGGGGTGCGGATTCTTTTGTTCTCCGAAGTTACCCTAGTTAAGTACAATGTCTCAACAATTTTGTCGCCGATTGCAGGTTGTAAGACCCCTGGTCGAAGACCCTTGGTTTTAAACCCCTGCGCTGAGTTGCTCAAAGCATGGTTAGCTTTAACCATTGGTTAAGCTGTATCAAAACCAATATGTTGTCAAGGTATTAAACGCTGGTTAACGCTAACCATGCTTCGAGCAACTGGACCCTGGTTGTAAGACCCCTGGTTTTAAAACCCCTGGCTTTAAGACCCCTGGTGGTAGGACCCCTTGCTGTGAGACCCCTGGTTTTATGATCGCAGGTTTTAAAAGCCCTGGTTGTAAGACCACTGGTTTGTAAAACCCCTTGTTGTAATACCCCTCCCTGATTGTAAGACCTCTGATTGTAAAACCCCTTGTAAATTACCTGGTTTTAAGACCCCTGGTTGTAAAACCTGTGGTTGTAATATCATTTGTTGTAAGACCCCTGGTTGAAAGAACCCTGGTTGTAAGACCCCTAGATGTAAGACCTCTGGTTGTAAGACTTCTGATTGTAAAACCCCTGGTTGTAAGGGCCTTGGATGTAAGAGTCCTTAATGCAAGACCCCGGGTGGTAAGACCCATGGATGTATTTTCCCTGGATGTAAGACATCTCCCCTTAAGACTCTTGGTTGTAAGACCCCTGGTTGTAATATCCCTTGTTGTAAGACCCCTGGTTGTAAAACCCCTCGTTGTAAGACTCCTGTATGAATGACCCCTGGTTGTAAGATCCCTTGATGTAAGACCCCTGATTGTGAGACCCCTGGATGTAATACCCCTGGTTGTAAGTCTCCTGGATGTGAGACACCTGGTTGTAAAATCCCCTGGTTGTAAGACCTCTTGTTTTAAGACCCATGAATGTTTAGCTTTTCGTCGTAAGACTTCTGTTTGTAGGGAGCCCTGGTCGTCAGGCATTTCGATGACGCGATGGATTTGACTGGCTTCGTGGTTCATAATCTACATCCTATATGTACAGGAATCTTCTTTACGTGGAGGTTTTCTTCTTTCCCTTTTATTTTTGATGCGTATCCTTATTAGGATCCGAAAAGTGGGTAGCTAAGTTAATTGGGCCATTGCTGCGCTAACTATTTCTCAAGTGACCGGTTATTTTACGCTACAGTAGGCCACATGGGTACCCTGTGACCTGAGGGTGTTTTGACTGTATTTTCCTCATTTTAAGGTATATACCGGAATCCAGTCGGTGGCTTTTAGTGAAAGGCAGAGCAAAGGAAGCATCGGAGCAACTCCTAAAGGTCGCCAAGGTTAACAAGAAGGAAATGCCCAAAGACAAGCTAACTCTTGTAGACGAAAACCCAACACAACAAAGACTTGGTGACATCCGAGACCTGTTCAGTACCTCAACCATGGTGACCAGGACCTTAATAAGCTGGTTTATTTGGTATGAGCATCTTTATAATAGATAATTTGTTTCTTTGCCTACTTCGTTTTTTTATTCCCAGTGTACCGAACGTGTCCTCCTCAGAACGACTTCGATCATCTGTAAAGTTTGCAATTAACATAATACGGAATATTTGGAGTAAGAGATTACGAAGTTGTGAGAGCACTTACCTCTCACCAATAGAGGAGTTCACGCTCATAGTGGCATTATGGGTATTTAGGGCAAGATAGCGGGAAATTCAAAGATTTGTATTAGAATTCAAAGTCAGCTAATTCTTCTTGAATTTTTATATTTGATGCTTTGTCTTTGAAAAGAGCAACTTACGAGTTCAAAGAAACAATACACTAAATCTGGAGTGCAAAAAAGTCCGTGATCAGTCTTTAGAAAACCTTGACTTTCCCATACATTTTCTGTAATTCGACAGTATCACAACTAAAGAAAAATGTATGGAAAAATTGAGGTTTTCTAAAAACTGATCAGGGACTTCTTTGCACTCCAGATTTAGTGTATTGTTTCTTTGAACTCGTAAGCTACTCTTTTCTAAGAGAAAGCATCAAATATATGAATTCAGGAAGAATTAGCTGACTTTGAATTCCAATACAAATCTTTGAATTTCCCACCATGCATCTTGCCCTGATTACCGATGATGCAACTATAAGCATGAATTCCTCAATGTGGCACGGGTTCAAATCCCGACGTCGACGCCATAAATGGGTTAAGTTTGTTGTTGGTTCTCTCCCTTGTTCCAAGAGGTTTTTCTTCTGGTGATCCAGTTTTCTCATCTCCTTAATAACCAACATTTCCAAATTTCCGTTCGATCAGGATTGGTAGACGAAGAAGCACTATGTGGATGTGCTTCCTCTAAATCGTTATTAATCCTATTTGTTGATTTCATTTATTTGCCTATTTATGTAAGGTATGTATCTTTCAAACGTTTGAAAGTTTCGTCTTAAAGTCAGTAAGAATTCTGCATGACACAACAATGTTCAAAACAGATATAAGCCATGCAAGGATATAGAGATGAAGAAAGCCGTAGATAACAGTTGGCTCAACTTCGCCAATTAGTTTCCTAGGAAGTACAGTAACTTGGGTAGGGATTCTCAAATCTCGCTTCGGAGACTCGATATTTCTTTGTCCGATAGGTTCGTGGTCACAATGGTGTATTATGGTGTTTCATTCAGTGCTGGAGCTTTTGGCGGGAATCGTTACTTGGTGTTCTTTTTGACCAGCCTCATAGAGATTCCTTCCAACTACACTGCGATTGTGGCGTGTAAAAAGTGAGTTCCTTGAAAATCTCTTCAAACGTGTTGATTGATTGTAATACAGGGTGTAGCAAAAGTTCGTTCCTCTCCTTTATAAGTATGTATTTTAGTATGACTGGACTTGGTAAGCAAATCATTTAAACAAAAGTTGTCTTTCAATCTAATTCACTATTTTCATACTTGTTATGCCATCTGTTGAATCGAATATTCTATTTGTGTACTTCCACGCCCAAGGTGCGCGTGCGCGAGTATTTTTTCCAACCACATATTATTCGTATTTTATAGCCCGAACTACTCGAACTCCTTCCTTGTTTTTGTGACTATCACGAAAGATAAACCCCCTTAATGCAAAAACGTTTACCTACGTGAAAGCATAAGAATGTATGCTTCGATTTACTGGCTTATCTGTTGTAGAAACTGTTAACAAACTGAATAATCCCAATGTTGGATGGTAAACTGATCATGAAGAAACGAAGGGGAAGACGAAAAGTCCTGAATAAAGCGGCTAAAATAGTTGTAAAGAAGGCTAGATACAAAATAGGAGACTCGACGAGGAAGCTCTCAAATAGCTAGCAAGCCATGTCCAGAAAGGGTCATGAAAAGCGAAAGTTTAAAATTAGAGGTCCCTGAGATGGCAAAAAATCCCTCTGCTTAGCCTGCCAAGTAACGCCCAGCTCGTCTCCAATTTGTAAAGAAGTACAAAAACCTTGCTGTGGAAGGGGGCCGGGATGATTATCTTTTCTGGGTGAATGCCCAAAATATTTTTTTTTAGCTGCCTAAACTAAACAAATATTGTTTGGGCGTTGAACTGGCTGCTGCGCACCGGTGACAAAAAAGCTCAAAATGGATCATCTGTGGGTCTACACGCTGTATCCCAATCCATGCCACAACGGCTACAGAATGTGACAAAAAAAATAAAAAGGGCATGCCCGTTACTGAAATTCTGAATACATCCTCCATAAAATCCTCTAGCAATTTTATGTAAAAATAAAGTTTTAGTCAAAAGTTATAGTGCATGAAATTAGAGGAACGAACTTTCGGGACACGCTATAGGTCATTTTAAACAAATCTTACATCTTTTCAATGAATGATGGTATACTTGACTTCGATTTTCGGAGTATACGACGGAGCTATACATGTAGTAGTAAAGCTACAATTATGGACAAAAGACTTGGCAGGGACACTTTTGCATTTCTGGGGCGTTTTCCAATTCACAGATGCCCAACCCTCCCCTCACCCCACAAACAAAGTTGGATGCGTGTATTCAGACTTTTTTGCGAGTTTTAACTTTGTATAGGGTGGGGGGTGGGGAAGGAGGGAGACCTGCAAAAGGAAGCACTATTTTATGAGGGAACCCAAAAATTTACAGAAAAATATTAATACTGCATTACAGTCCCAAGAACTTTTGTCTATGATTGTATGACTTTGTGCTCTTTTAAAGAGCTTTTGCAAGAAAATGAAGAGAATTGTGGAAAACATATTTTGGTTGTGATTTACCTAGGAATAGTAAATCATTACCCCCCTTCCGTGCACCCTCGACCCCATCGACACCGATTTAGGCTGTTTGAAATAAAATCAAACCAAGACATCTTTTTCTTTCCAGGATCGGTCGAAAGAAAACCACTATTATTGGACTGATCATTTCTTCTATCGCCTCTGCAGTCGCTGTTCTATTTCAGAGAGATCTGTCAAATACAGGTAACATCTCAGTATTCTCCCACTTGTTTCAGTAACTATGGAAATCAGGAGTCTATGACTATATGGGCTCCTGTGGAAATACAAATTTAAGAGAATCGATGGTAATCGATGACCAGGACAAACGTGAAGAAATATCCTTTGAAGTCTGTCTGGGCAAGCTTTAATCGACAAAGAATTTCATTGCCTAAGTTTTTTCATTGGTGAATAAAACTTGCTTGATTAGAGAATCTAACACTCGTCAAGCTCTTAACGTTTGTTTTCATTCATTTTTAGGTTTTCTTGTTGCAAGGATAATTTTTGCGTCAGTGATCGCCAAGTTTTTTATAAATATGGCCTTCGCCACCATCTACGTATTTTCCACTGAATTGTTTCCAACAGTTGTCAGGTATTGTTGTATTGGATTTTTTTCTATCTGTAAGGCTGCGTGGCCATAATAGAGCTGTGGATCTACAATTGGATAGACTTCAGGTCAAGAAGAAATATAGTTCACCCATTCGCTGCGCTCATTCGTGAAATATTTTTCAATACGAGAAGAGAAATTTTGTATCCCCAGCCATGTAATGTTCTGACTTGTTATATAAATACCAATGAAATGCAAAACTATTTCACTTTTCAAAACATTTTTTTGCTGCGAAAGGCGCGATTTATTTAGTAGTTATGGCAACGGTGATCACTTCACGTGTATTTTACGGGTGTCATAAGATCGCATAATAAAATAAAAAACTTCGCCGTTAGGAAGGTTTCTCCTGCTAAACGTCCCTAGCGGAAAGACCAAGAGTCGCATGCTAAAAAATGGTTATGAAATATTTATTTTACAGGAACCTGGGCGTGGGTTCATCCTCAGCAGTAGGACGTATTGGATCGATGGCTGCACCTTATCTTATTTGGCTCGTAAGACTATTCCTGTGTTATCCGGTTATTTTTTATATAAAAAACTAAGAGGACATGCCAAAGTACCGTCGGTATTATGCGAAAGTCCGTGTAAAGCGGGCTTCCTGCCTTAAACCCTGAAAAAGTGTTATTTGAAAAGAATCTTCTACCTAGGTGGACTATTTAGACACCAAGTTTTGTTTTCCTTTTACATTTTCAGCTAATGCTCATTTTGTTCTCATCAATATCACTAACAACTATTTGGTTGTTTTTGTCTCGTACATTGTAGGTTCGCTTCCATGTTCTCGTACCTTACTCCATCATAGCTGCACTTTGCCTCGCCGCTTCTGTACTGTGTTGTCTTCTTCCAGAAACAAAAGACGCCCCGACTCTGGAAGTGATGGATTCTGTCAAGGGAGACAGCAACTTGGAAACTTTTGAAATGGGTCAACGGGAGGAAATAAATGATGAGAAGAACTAAGAAGCTTCTGCCGTAGACATATAAACGTAAAGAACTGCAATGTTTTTTAAGAATTGATTTACACGCTATAAATCGTTATGTCCCGTACACTAAACAGACCAACATAGTATTGCCCGCATGTTTGAGTCACAGATATAGCATTCAATAGACGATTATTAGAAAAGCTGGCTTATCAGTGAAGTCCCGGGCGTTTTACAAACCACACAAAGGTTTGAATATCATGAAAAGTTCTTTGGCAATACAACAATAGAGAGAAACGGTCTTTTTATGAGGGTAAAGATTGCAGCAACTTCAGTGTTCCATATTCATCCTCTTTTCATGCTCTTTTGGTAATTAATCGTATTCGAGTTTTAACTTAATTATAATTTTTGCGTTGTATTATCGATCAAAAATGTTGTAGGAATTCATCTTCCTGCACTGCGTTAACGCCCAAGAGGTTTCATAACGTAAGGGTGGGGTGGTTCAACGTTTGGTGACCTGTACATGTGAACGTACTCCTCCCCTTCTTACTCTGGTCCTGATTTGGATACCCAACGGGAAGCCATTATGTGGGTTTTAGTTTTTGTTGGTTTTCGTCCTTGCTCCGATGGGTCTTTTTACTTGGCTCTCTGAGATTGAACATTTGAAATACTTTTTGAAGGTCTATTTCCTGGACTCACGTCATTAAAGCGTCTGATGAGGTCGACTATACCATCAGGGATCGTGATCACGAAATTTAGATACCTGGGGGTACGATGTTCTATCATTAGAACGTCCTCAGTGCGTTTAGAACTTGGTTAGAAGGCGTGTCCATGAGCTCACCCTGGAAGTGAACGGCATTGCTTTCTTAGAGACTGCACCAACACGCCGTTGAAGACGTGGAAAAGTGCTCATGTCCTGCGTGTCCTGAAGCGCGCTTAATTTTAGGCCAGCTAAGAATCTAACTCTCCTCATATAACGATCAGTCCGGTAACAGAAAGCTTTGTGAAGTGGAAAATGCCTAACTACGGAATTGGTATCGTTCTTACGATATGCAAGCAACTAGGTTAATGTCTTATGCACTGATAGAGATTTTCCTGTTGTCATAGTGACACAGTTGACCTATTCACTAGGATATCCTGTGATTTTTTTGTTTGTTTTTATACCGATATGTTAGGTTCAAGTAAATCAAATCAGTTGTCTATGATCATTGGTCTCTACGAAATTAATTAATACATGTACGAATTAAATACTGATTGTCTGTGATTGAGTTAAATTTGTGATTTCCTACTTCTTTCCTGACTAAATGTGCCGTGAAAACGGGAAAACGAAGCCGCAACTCGGGTTGCCTAGGTTTGCTTTATAAATCAAATTTTGATGATTAGATCTTAGTGAAGAAAAAAATCGACGAATTTTTAAAAAAGGAAGGGCTTAAGATTTACTCCTAATATACAGATACTTGAAAAGAAAGAAATGATTTACTTCAATTTTATTTTTTTAAAAGTTATTTTAATTAATTAACCAATCAACAAGTAACTTTTACAGAGTGTATTGCTCTCTTGGTTTATATAGTCATGGAAATAAAACTTGTTGTTCTCCGACTGGTCATGTTGTTCGCCGACTTATCTGGTCTGCCTCAAAGTACAGTTGTTCCGTGTGGCCTTCTCCCTTTTCCCAGGCAGTCTGATTTCTCCGCTGCCAGGTACAACACGGTAACATATGGCAAGCACTCCCTCCGCCACTTGGGGCCCAATCTCTGGGGAAAATTATCTCCAGACGTGAGAGAAGTAACCACCTTAAAATGTTTCAAAAACAAAATACGTACATTAGATATAGTTACACTAATGGATAATGGATGCAAGTGTTGTCATCTCTGCAATTCATAGACATATTTGTCATACTGTAAATATTGTTAATGTCATTAATATTTATTTTTTTATTTTTTTATACCTGCGCTTATATGTAAACATTTTTTTAATTTAATTTATATTTACTTATTTTGTGTCCCCTAATTAGCATAGGTTTTTAACCTAAGCGAAGAGGCTTCTTTAGACACCTTAATAAAGTTTCATCATCATCATTATCATCACCCTTTCCCTAAAGCTATCATACAAAAACGAGAGGGTGAAAAAACTTGCCCTGTGTGTTCTCCTATCGGCGTTTGGGCAGGAATATATAAACACTTATCTATTGTAGCCTCTTGACTACTGCAATTCGTCTTATTCAAGAACACAAATTAAAATTGATTCATTTGTAGACTAAATTCATGTATGGGCCTGTTTACATGGAGTGGGGGACCCCGGTCTAGTGGGGTTGGTTTCTTTTGTTTTCACGCTCTGGCGGACACAAAACAAAAGAAACCTACCCCACTAGACCGGGATCTCCCACTCCGATGTAAACAGGGTCTAAGTTATTTGAAAAATTTGAATCTCCGCCAATGTGTTGCGTACAATAAATTAGGAGGTATTCAGTCTATGGAATAGATTCATTTTACTTAAACCTTATGTGTGCTATACTACTACATGAAACATTTCTGCAATTTGTTTGGCTTTGAGCAGTGGTATTTCAGCTTAATTTGAAATACGTGACATGTGAAAATTACCAACCTTTTGCGGCTAGTAGCATAAACAAATAATAGCGTGATTTGTACGTGATATTTGGCATAAATACCACTCATGATATTTCAAAATTGTCTCCAATTTCACTCGCCTAACGACTCGTGAAATTACGTATAACAATTTCGAAATATCACTTGTGGTATTTATGCCAAATATCACTACAAATCATGCTATTACCTATACAAACAAATAAATAGGGTGATTTTACTTAGGCCGTGAAATAGATAGTAGCCTATACGAAACTTACACACTTCGTAATTACATTGTTTTCATCTGTTTACTCATTACTATCTGGCATACTAATTGTTACATATTCTTTCACGGGGTTCGTAAAATCACTCTAGTAGACTATGATGCACTCTTATCCACAAAAGTCCATTGAATTTGTTTTTTCCTTTATTATTTTATTGGCATTAATTCAGGGGTTAGTCTGTTTCACGAGTTAAGTAAAATTACTCCAAGGCCAATACGGAGCATTCTACTTTCGCAGGGGCGGATCCAGGATTTTTTTTAGGAGGGGGTGCACTCGTCTCTTGCTCTACTTCAACACCAATAAACCACATAGTTTTTTTTTTTTTTTTTTTTTTTTTGCAGAATACCAGTTGTATTTAAAAACCGCAGGGCATTTCAGGGGGGGGGGGGGGCCCCCCCCCCCCCCCCCCCCCCAAACCCCCCCCCTTTTTCCCCCTCCATTCCCTTCCCCTTTTTTTTTTCACGAAAAAAATAAAAAAATGTGTTTCCCAAAAAAAAGGAAAGGGGAAAAAAAATAACATTTTTTGAGTGGAAAATATTCCTGTAATACAATTCTGGTCTTTCTTTTATATTTGTTGTTTTTTTTTTTTTTTTTTTTTTTTTTTTTTTTTTTTTTTTTTTTTTTTTTATTAACAATAAAAAATTATTTTTTTTTTTTTTTTTTTTTTTTTTTGGGGAATTCCCGGTGTTTTAAAAAACCGGTGGTTTTCTTGGGGGGGGGGGGGGGAGCGCACCCCCTGCACCCTCCCCCTAGATCCGCCCCTGTTTCGACTATTCATTTACATTACATATCTTTTGTCACGAAAACAGTATAAAAATGTGTTTGCCAAAGAACAGGTAAGGAGTAAGAGACTATCATTTACTGAGTGGGACCAACTAAAGAAAACACACACACATGCACAATATTGCCACAGGAATCAAGAGAGGATAAAGGGCTCCCACTCTAAATCCTCTGTTTTTGGATCTTTGCCTTTTGATTATTCAGGCGGTGTTTTTTCCCTTTAGGAATTACTGACCAGTCTTAAGTATTGTATACTACTTGCCATAAACCGCAACTATTTCAGTGTTAAAGATTTTAGTACAATAAATTTAAAATGCAACCCTATTTCTTCGCCACCAGCCCAGCGCAACGTCCACAGCAAATGTGTCTCACGAGGAGCAGGGAACGGAGAGCACAGGGAATGGCGAGGGGAAACGTGGAACGGGGAAAGGGAAACGGGGAACGGGATACATGGAAAATGGGAACAAAAGAGAAAATTTGAATGAAGGTAAGAGCTAGTTCAGGTTAGGTTTTGTTTCCATTTTTCAGTTTCCCGTCCTCTGTGTTCGTTCCTTGATCTCCGTTTTAGTAATATACCTCCAAGTTACGTTGCGTGAGAGCTATTAAATTTTTCAATTTGTTTACTTTTTGCCTTTGTTTTGTCTTTTAAAAGAATCCAATATAGATCAATATAAACCATGCATGCGGTTCATCTGTTCGCTGTAGGTACACGTGTGCAACTAACACAACCGGTTGGACCTGTTTAATTCTCTTCTTGTTTTTAAATTTCCACCTTTTCATCCTTTTCCCCTGGCTTTTAAGAAACTCAGATTAAACTAGAGAGGCTACTGTTCCCTTCTTGTAAAGGAACCGAGGATCAGAGTACGATCCGCGTTCTGAGTAACTTCAAACGTGTTAAAGTGTATCAGGAATTAAATATTCAGAAAGGCAAACTGGATGTGACCTCGTCAAACTGGTTAAGTCTAAGGAATGTACATAATTAAACGAGTTCTCACCGACTCGCGCTCTCTCCAGAAACCTGTCTTTATCGAGTCTGTAGTCACTGTATGAGCTGTTGAACCGCTTTTAGGTGAGTATTTGGTTATCAGGCTCTAAGTTCTAGGTAAATGAGCGACTATCGTGCAATATTTTCTTAATTTATTTGGCATTATTGCGAATAATTGGCGGCATAGACAAGACCAATAGACCAGAAAATATTGACATTTAGCTTGGATCTGAAATTCGATGGAATCCACTTCTCATCCATCGCAGAATTAAAACTGTGAATAGTATGCGTTTTTGGCGATGATTTCAGAGAAAGCTCGTGCAGTTTCTTCGCAAAGCTTAAGCAGTGTGTGATATGTTTACCACTGAATAGAACGGTATATTAAGAAGCTTGGCCTCAGACAAACGATAAAAGCAGGAAAAAAATTACGGATGATTTTTGACGCTTTTTAATTTCCTTATTAACAAAATTTTAAAGAAAAAGCGCGGATTATTTTTATTTTTTTCATTTTTTTCATAAAACATCCGCCGCCTTTTGCCTACGCTTCAATTGCTCTTCCATCGTTAAGTTATGCACCATGCACTTTTTCCCCCATTCAAAGACGGCTCAAACTTATCCTGCCAGTTTTTGTACCAGAGAATTTATAACTTGGAACGTCTCATTATTTCACAAAACCAACTGGCAAATGCGACCGCCTTATGGTAATTATATTTTGCAAATTAATCCACCGCTCCAAAGATGGATGTCGCATTGCGTGATATTGAATACTGTGCCGTAAACGGAACAACCGAACGAGGCACTTCAGTATAAGATTTTTTGGTCAACAATTTGGCTCAGAGCGAACTCTCCAATGCCAAAAAAACTAAGGATGGTATACTAAACCCGGCAAAGAGGTAAACAGTACGATGACGCATAGTTATTCCGGTCAGTGTAAAACGCAGCCTGCGGACCGATTGTTTTCACCATGCAAATGAGTACTTAACAACAACAGTCCTTGTTTTCCAACCCTTTTAAAAAACAATAGTCCGCAGTCTTGACTTTACTCTACGCCATAATTATTCATGCGCAATTCTCTTGTTTTCTTTTCGATTATTCCTCTTCTGTTATCGGTATGCATAGCACGATGACACATGTCATTCACTACCATGTGTTCTTTTCATAATTTGCATTGAATATTCCCCATATTTCTGATCTCTTCTGTTATCGGTATGCATAACTATAGCTATAGTTACACTGACCGTTTTACCCTTGTGTACAAAACTA